GTGTCCTCGGGAGGAGCTGCAACAGTGGACAACTTCCTTTAGCCTCCCTGCTGGAAAGGACCATGTTTCAGTGTTTTCCAGGTGTGGCATGAATTTCAACACTGGGTCAGGGCTGGGTCAGGGCTAGGGAGTGAGTTGCTGAGCGTGTGCCTCCCCCTCCCCCCCCCCCCCCCCGACTGCAATGTTCTGCAAGGACCTTCTCTGCAGCACAGAACTGGAGGCTAACACAGCTCTGCCTGCGGAGGCCATGTTGCCCTCATTACTTGCTAGCGTAGATGCAGTATTTAATTAACTCGGTTTTATTTGTAAACAAATGTGGTTGGCATTTAATAACCGAGAGGATGTGTAGCTCTTGCAAAAACGGCAACTTTACAAAATTAAAAGCCGGTGGCTGCACAATATGAGGGAAATTAATTACCCTGGGAGCTGGTGCTCCCCAGGGTGAGGTTGGTGATCAGCTGTCACTTAAGTAAGAAGTGCAGCCAGGTGCACAGGAACTGGCTGGCTGTCTTGAGTGTGGAGGGTGGGAAAGTAGGGCTCCTTTTCTTTCAGTCTCTCAAACTGACCCACAGGCAGAGCTGGGGTTCCAGAAGCATCTGGGCTCTGTAGTAGGGACCCGAGAGAACCCAGGGCTCATGCCCCTGGCTGGGTGTGTTCAGAGGGAAGGTATATGCATGTTGTCAGTCCACAGCGCCACGGGCACAGCAGGGAAACTGAGCCCATGGGGCACTCTGAGTCATTCCGCACTCTGAGACCAGGTTTGTGTGCTTCCTCCATGTCTGTCCCCTATACCAAGATGAACCAGTCTTCTAAATGTCCCCATTTTCACAAGGTTCGAACCCATCCTTGGTCATTTCCATTCCCTCAAAATCTGCAGAACATTTGAGGCGTAGAACAGAAACGATAACAAAAACGCAGGGTTTTCAAGGCCTGGCATGAAATCAACAAGGCAGGTACAGGAGAGCTGCAGCCTTAGAGTCCCGTGTACGCCAACACTACGGGCGTCTGCTTCCACGACCGACTCCCTCCACAGCCTTCGGTTTCCAGGTGTTCATCTTTCACTCTATTTCTACTTAATATTGTTGTTACTATTAATAAAATAGAGTATTTTGTTCCCGGCCTATGGGAAATGGGTTTGCATCTCACAGCATGACTTGTAACGTAGACACTTTCGCATTCTGTTACACAAACGGTGTCGAGAGCAGAGGGCGTTTCAGTGGGTTTTCTATGACCTCTGCATCCCTGCGCCTTCACCTGCCAGGTGGGTACTGGGACAGTAGATGAATGTGGCTCTCTTTATTTCCCATAGAGAAGCTAGCCTATCCAGTGTCACTAATGTGGTATGTGTTGATAGTAAGTCCAAATCCCTGGAAGCCACACACGCACACATGCGCGCACACACGCGCGCACACACACACATGCACACACGCGCGCACACACACATGCGCACACACGCACGCACACACATGCACACACATGCGCACACATGCACACACACATGTGCGCGCACATGCACACACACATGCACACACACGTGCGCGCACACACGCACACACACATGTGCATTGGCTGATTTTGTTCATGTTCTCATTTGCTCCATCCATCTCTGCCACACCACAGAGCAGTAGTTTCCAACACTGGCATTCTCGAAACCCAGTCCAGCGAGTTAAGGCTTTGCCTTCTGTAAATGTCATGCCGAACCGTTTTACTTTGATGCCAGAGCTGGACCTTGAAATAAATGCAGGTGGGTTAGCACACAGCGACCCAATACTTCCTTTAGCATTTTCTACATCTGTTTTTATTCATGCTCTTCACTGTTACCGTCAAGGTCAGACTGGCGTGGGAACAAAAATGTGCCCAGTGCTGGCTCCTTCCTGACCTCTGGATTTGTCTTGAACGTCACCCTTGCCCTCGCTCATACCCAGGAAGGGCAGACACGGAGGAGGGGGCATCTTCAGATGGCATGATCAATCACTCGCTCATACCCAGGCCCACGTCTGTGGGGGTCATCTTCAGAGGGCAAGGTCAACATCTTTGATGAGTATTCTATTTTCAGACTGTCTTCTAGAAACACATCATTTCACCTTTAAGTGCAAGCTCGCTGCTACAGAGACAGGCAGGGGACCCTGGGGCCACGCTTGCCACCTTGAGCACTGCATGATCTCCCTCTTCATCTGACAGGGTCCTTGTCTTTTCATCTGCGCCTTGTGCTCCTGTCCTGATCTGTACTTTTACCGAGTCCTATGGAAACGCAGATTGCACTCACCCTGATTTCTCTCTTCCCATCCCTGCCCTGAGCCATGGTCACCACTGGACTGCCACCCTGGGGACAGGGGTGGAGACCCTGTGACCTAACACAGTTACCGGAAGATGGGGAGCATCCAGACCAAACATAAGACGTTAAGCAGAACAGGCTTGCCTGGCCATCACGGGGCCTCCCTTACAGTCTCCTGCCCTCAGGACTCCAGAAACAGCAGTGAGGGAGTCTTGGGGACAACTGTCTTCATCAGCTTCATTGGAAAGTCACTTACAGGACAGACCTGTGCCCATCTAAGGAGTGTGTTAATGGGGTGAACTCTGGCAAAGGCATCTTGAAGCCTGGCTTGGCCTGTTGTTAGCCACAAGGTAGAGAGAACAGGAGCCTCAATGGGTCAATACAAACCTTCCAATAGCGTCCTAGCAAGGCTAGGAATGCAAACGCTCTTGCAAGGGAATGATGGACCAGCTGGCCTGCCCTCACCCACAGTCCCACTGTAACTAACAGGGGTGGGGAGAGGTCAGGAGGGGTGAGAGCAGAGGCAAGAGAGGGAAGGAAATGAGGACTGGCTGGGCAGTTAAGGACTTCCCAGGAACAGGGACTCCCCACATCACCGCCACAGGGGCAGATGCTGGGCGCAGGAGTCAGACTGGGAAGCAGGAGAGTGACTGGCTCCAGCACCTTTCTCTTCCTTTGGTCTCCAAGAACCAAAGCCGTTTCCTGGCATACTTTACCCCGTAAAGCCACAGGGCATCCCTCAGGGGTGTTCACAAGCCATCAAGGCAGTGGGATCTTATCTGGGAGGGGGAGAGATGGCCCAATGCACACCCCAGCCTTTGCCCAGAGTGACCGGAGTAGGCACTTGTGACTCGGGTTCTGGCACACTGCTTATACTTCCTCCACAAGTAGGATTTCTAGAATGTTAAACCACCACAAAAAAGACCAAAGGTTTAATCCGCTTCAAACCGGACCAATTCAAACTCCGTGTCCAGAGCACTCAGCCAATTACAACACAAGACTCCAGTCATTTTTGCCTGAAGTAATGGAAACCTTGAGATTTTAGCTTCTGACTTCCTCTGAATTTTCTCATCTGAATGATTGCTAGCTATTTCTGCAAGGCTCCCTTAGACAGTACTGTCCATCTGGGTCCTGCAATGACATAGCACCCTTCTAGACAGGTCATCACCATGTGCCATCAGGGTACCCTCACTTGAGGACTTGCATTCCCCTTCCCCGCAGCCCAGCTCATGACTGGGCTGGGACTGAGGTCTGTCTCATGGGGTGAGTGTCTGGCCCACAACTGTACCCACTGTCTGCAGGAATTCCTTCGGTCAGAGCTCCAGGGATGACCAGGTATGTGGGTCTGAATGAGAACGGTCCACAGGCTCAAATGTTTGAGTATGTGGCCCCCAGTTGGTGAAACTGTTTTAGAAGGGTGAGGCGGTGTGTCTTGGTGGAAGAGGCTGTTTGCTTTCCAAAGTTTCCAAAGGCGGGCAGTTTCTAGGGAGCTCTCTGCCTTCAGCTTGCGGTTAGACACGAGCTCTCAGCTGGTCCATTAGCACTGCTCTTCTGCCCAGTTAAGCACTTTGCTCTGTGAATTTCCTTGGTTCTGATGTTTCACCAGCAAAAGAAATGTACCTGACACACTGGTGAGCTCAGTTCCCACGGGAGAGAACTAGGCTTCTGAAAGAAAAGTGACCCATGCAGCTTTCTAATTCTATCTGGCAGCTCCCCCTGAGCCTTCAATGTATCTTCCGACCCCCTGGACTAGAGAGAGAGGGGCACCTTTACCAGGTACCCTCCTGGTGAGGTGTCTGAAGAGTCAGGCAGGCTCTGACAGAATGGGACAGTCACTTCCTTCTGTCCTATGGCAATTCTTTTTTTTTTTATGGATCTTAAACTTTATTTTTTTAAATTTATTTATTTATTAAAGATTTCTGTCTCCTCCCCGCCACCGCCTCCCATTTCCCTCCCCCTCACCCAATTAAGTCCCCCCCCCAGCCCGAAAAGCAATCAGGGTTCCCTGTCCTGTGGGAAGTCCAAGGAACCCCCACCTCCATCCAGGTCTAGTAAGTTGAGCATCCAAACTGCCTAGGCTCCCACAAAGCCAGTGTGTGCAGTAGGATAAGAAACCCATTGCCATTGTTCTTGAGTTCTCAGTAGTCCTCATTGTCCGCTATGTTCAGAGAGTCTGGTTTTATCCCAGGCTTTTTCAGACCCAGGCCAGCTGGCCTTGGTGAGTTCCCAGTAGAACATCCCCATTGTCTCAGTGTGTGGGTGCACCCCTTGCAGTCGTGAGTTCCTTGCTCGTGCTCTCTCTCCTTTTGCTCCTGATTTGGACCTTGAGGTTTATGTCCGGTGCTCCAATGTGGGTCTCTGTCTCTGTCTCCTTTCATCGTCTATGGCAATTCTTATAGAGGCCCCACTGCCTTCTGTTCAGATACACCCAGCGGCCCACATGCTAACACAGTTATTATTCCAATGATGGATTGGGGGGGGGGAGAGCGATAACACTACAACTTCTTTTCCTAGAACTCTCTTCTTCCTACTCTTCCCATCCACAAATGTTCCCAGCATCAATTCAAAAGGACATATTGTTTTCCTGCTTCAAACAAAACACGTCAGGATTTTCAAACCTGAACATTCAAGACACGCGCGCACACACGCACACGCGCGCGCACACACGCACACGCGCGCGCACACACACACAATATGTCAAAGAAGATAAAGTGACACGTTTTATGAGATAAGAAAAATAAGGAGTTTAATAATTCCAAGGGGATAGCACACACACTGCAGCAGTCAACGCCGGAGCTGTTTGCAACACCGGGTTTCCTGTAGTGTCTGGATGCCCTGGACACCCCAGGGAAGGAGGGGATTGGCATGAGGAGCACACGGGCGGGTGAGGACAGCTGATGGAGAGAATAGTGGAGCTTCAGAGGCTGCTACATCGCAGAACGGAAAGTGCTTCACATCTACAGGGTAGAAAATGGCTTCATCCCCCGCACCCCTTAGAGACAGGGAGGAGTAACAGTTGTGAATGGTGCCCTGGGTTGCTGGTACCAAAGTCCCACCCGAAGAGACTCGGGGAGAGAGAAATGGGTGTTTACAACAGGGTCAGATTTTAAAAAGAACGGCTCTTAGATACAGATTCTCGCTCCCTGGAGAGCCTGGAAGACACTGGATCCACAGAAAGGAAACGTGCAGCCACCCTGTCTGGGGTAGGGATGTTAGGGACATGAATACTCATGGAATACTCCAAGCGCATCATTAAGGCAGGTCTGTAAGAAACTGTCCTGGGGCATGGTCGGCGACCTCAGTGGTGGTGAGGCCAGTGGCAGATATGGTCTTCACTTACTCTTGGCGGGGGAGCTGCACTGCAACCCCGGACACCTGTCCCCAGCAGTGAGAGATTCAAGGAGCGTGGTTCCTGAGTTAAGATCTCCTGTGACAGCAACACTGTCTTTTGCTGCAGTGTCTTTTGCGTCAGCAGAGTGCTCGGGAAACAGGGCTTACCAAAAAGAACGAGAGCACCTCAGCTTCTCTCACTCAGCCTAGACGATAAAATGGTCTGAGTGAGGCTGGGTGGACCCAGTCAGAGTGTGGAGGGAGAAGAGACACAAAGGGCCTCTCAGCGCCTGCTCAGAAACTGCCACACAGGAGGGGCGAGGGGCCGGGTCCACGCGGGATGGGAGTGGGGGGAGACGGTGCTGAAGCACCTGCAGCTACACTGCTACCCAACACCTTTCTACAGCAAAGTTCCGCTGGCTTCCAAACAACCTCTTTGGAGGAAAGCAGCAGACAGCTAAGCTCCTGAGATCACTGTCACTATTGCCAAACCCTGGTCACACAGAAAATAGGGCTTCTAGTCCAGACCACCTGCCTTCCAGGGCCTGCCTGGGCCCAGGGAGGCAGCAGAGTAGGGCATGGGCACAGCAGGGCACAGCAGGGCACAGTCCTATGGGGCTTTCACTGTGCAGCTCAACTGCGGCTATGTATTGCTTTATTCTTGTTCAAGGGGAAAGGGGGGCTTTCAGTGGCCTGGACAGTGCCGACTGCAGCCAAAGCAGAGCGCATGGCTGACGACAGCCTGCAGTCAAACCTGCCCGGCAGCACCGGCTGGAGAACATGGAATAAATAACACATCTATATACATGGTCTAGTTCTCTCGGGGGAGGGCCACTTCTCCACACTTGTGACGCATTCCTGTGACTGAGAGCCCAGCTAGGACAGAGCAGCAGGAACGAGCGCCACAGGCAGATAGCAACGTCACCTTCCTAGAATCCATGACTCCTTGGGCACAGACACATGCCTGAGACTGGAATACTGCAGTTAAGAAGAGGACGGTGACAAAAGTCACTGTGCCCAAGGGGGTGCTCCTGATGGCACCACGGAGCCTGCACCGCATGGAACAAGTCAGTCCTACCCAGGTATCTATTGCTTCACCTTGCTCCCAACACTTCGTGAACACAACTTCAAATCCCTGTTGCCAGAAAGGCTGAGAAGGAAATCCTAGCAAGAGGGTTAGCCCGGTCACATCGCAGGTATGCGTTCAAAGATCAGTATTTACAACAAGTACACAGGTATGCTATTACAGATTCAACTGAAGTCTAAAAGCCCGAGGACTCTGGTCAGTCACTGCATGGAGAAGTCGGCAGACATATGCTCAGCCCAGGCCTTAGTGTCTGTAACTCACATGTAGTTACATCAGCCAAAGCCTGGTGAAGACCACCTGCCTTAGTCCTGAATGTCACTGTGCTTGGGCCAAAGACCCCAGCCTTGTCTGGGAACTGCTGGTCTTCGGCCTGTGAGAGTGAGGTGGGCCTAGAGATTGGTCTCGTCCCAAGCAGGGTCGTTCATGTTCTTTAGAACCTTCCTCACCAGCTTCTCCAGGTCCTTGCGGGCCCTCTGCTCCTCCTCTAAGGATTTCTTCATCTTCTTGTTATCCTGCAAGGTGAGCAGACGACAGCAGGTTCACTGCCTCGGCACCGAAAGTACCTTCATAAGCTGCATCCCCAGGTAGCCAGGTTGGAAGGGACGGGCCAACAGAGCCGAGCCATGAATGTACACCCGGCTAGGCTGGGCAGTCTCCACTTACACTCCTCAACAAGACAACTTGGTAAAACGTGCTAAGTCCCTTACCCAGTCAACTGCAAAGGGCAACAAGGGCACCCAACGGACCAAGTCAAGAAGGAAGGAAAGTGTGCTACCTCCAACACCCTCAGGACAGTCCTGCCCTGTCCCTCTAAAGAGCCTGCGTTGCACCCCCTCCTTCAAACCTGCCCACCAGCTGCTCAGATACATCACACAACGGTTCAGCAGGTGTCAGCACTTGCAATCCAAGATGGACAATCTAAGTCTGATCCCCAGAACCTCTATACAGGAGGAAGAAGAGAACCCTCTCCACACAGCTGCTCTCTGACCTCCACACATATGCCACGGCATGTGCCCCACCCCTCCCCACACACAATAAATAATAAAATACAACTTGAAAGAAAAACAAAACAAAACACCATAGGGTCGCACACACAGCAGGCTAGGCACCACTGTCCTGCTGTCCTGGATTTTAGAAGCCAAGTAGCCAGAGGCAACCATCAGGGTAGTGTGATGGACAATACCATAGAAGATTACTCCAGCACACGCTGAGGTGGCTCACATCCAAAGAGTACCACAGAAACAAGTATCTCCTGGCCTGTCACTCTTGCATTTTTACATGATGACTTAAGAGAATTCTTCCAGCTTTTAGATTTGTTTTGCTCTATGTGCATGGGTGTCTCTTCCTGAATGTATGTCTGTGCATCGTGTGGATGCAATACCCAAAGAGGCCAGAAGAAGGCATCAGATATCGTAGGACTGGAGTTAACCGAGGGTTGAGCTGCCATACGGATTCTGGTAATTGAACTTGGAGCCTCAGGAAGAATAAGTGCTCTTAACCCGAGTCATCTCGAGCCCCTGCCTGCCACTCTGAAGTGACGCTGGTGGCTTTGTTGTTTCCTTTTACTCTTCAATGGACTTTATTTTTAAAACAATATTTTCCTTTTTCTCCCATTAAAACAAAACAAAAACAAACCTGACTAAAACTAAAACCTGGTTGGCATACCTGTCTTAACTCTTGGACTTCATCCTTCAGTGCGTACACCGTGTCCACAAGGCTCCTGGACAGGATAGAGTAAGCACAGGAAAGTGGTATGTCAAGGTTGCACAGGCTGGCAGGACCCCCGGGGCTACCCTGAGCAGCAACGAGCCGAGCTCTGCCTACTGAGAGAGCTTAATTCCTAACCTCAGAGCAGCCCGCCCGGCCATCCCCCATCAGTGAGAGCGCAGCCAGCCTGAAGCAGAGTTGAGGCTGCACCACCAAGAGGAGCAGGGGGAGCCAGTCATACAGAAAGGAAAACATCTTACTTTTCCTCTATCACGGTCTGCCCGTTGCTTTTGATTTCTTCAACTATAATTTTTTCTTCTTCTGGAAGCAACACTTGCGGTGCAGATTCCTTACGTGAACCTGTCATTAAAAAGGAAAGCCCCATGTGAGTGCCGTGGCAGGACCAAGGAAGGACATCTACTTTACCCCTACCACTTAGACAGCCCAGGCCAGTGATACACATTAAAATCTTTGACTGGTTTTCTCCAGCTGTCTGTTGGGTGTGGCCAACCAAAGCATTACAGAGGAAAGAAAACAGCAACCGAAAAAAAAATGTAAAAATACTCTTTCGCAACTTATTAAACTCTTTGAACTAAGGAAATCTCTAACAGCAAGTACACTAAAGGTCTGACCACACCACACTCAATACACAACCAAAATTTAAACCACGCTATCATTCCAGCACCACTGGAAAAGACCAGACCAGGAAAGAATGCGTAATTCTTGGCTTATAAATAAAAAACTCTAGAAATTACAAAAAGTTTAAGGTCTGGAGAGGTAGCTCAGTGTTAAGGACTAAAAATTAACAACCCAAACATCAAGAAAAGACTACATAAACAGTAATGTTTATAAAACTGTAACACTGTAATACACAGTTTAGAAGAAGTGGCATTTATTGTCTGGTCACAGTGAGAGTTCTATCAGCCCTTTAGACATACACAGCTTTGAGTGCGAAGGAATGCACTGCCCACAGCACCAGAGGCACATGGTCCTGGCACACACGCTGACCGGTGACCACCTCATGTGACACGTACTGTGCAACAGACACTGGCCTTCAAAGGGTAGGTACCAGGAAGGAGGATTACACAACGTGGTTATAATCATTGGCTTTGGAGCAACACCACCAGATGCAACTGGAGGACGGATGGGTTCTGCTGTCCAACAGGTGCACCTGCTCACGGCTGGGCTTGTCTGATCATGCTTGGCGTGAGGCAAGATGGCTGACTGTAAAAATGGGGTTAATTTGCTTTTGTGTTTCCGGGGTGCCCTTTGTGTGTCTTCCTGAAAGCACATCGGATTTCAAGGAGCACTCTTGCGCATGGAAACCCTAGAACAGTGTTTGAGAGGCGGCACTGTGAAGAGCAGCTTTGTGGGCAACTTAACCCAAGCCTGTGCTTCTCTCAACAAATCAAGGCGAACCACTGCTGTCTAAGCTGCGATTTACAAGTCGAGCTAGCCATCCACCAGGGCAACTACGGGGCCTGGAAGACTGTGGCCTCAGGTCTATCTCCCTAGGCCATCTTCTGTGTATCTCCAAGTCTGTTGCACTGGAAGGTGCTGGGTCAAGTGCAGGACGACAGGGCGCTCAGGGGCGGCAATGCAGCCAGCTCTGTCACGCAGCACAATTCTCCAGGAGAGAAGCAGCCAGAGTATGGTGAGGCAACCCAGCCTGGGGTCCCATGTGAGTAGCTGGAAGGCTGTCAACATCCTAGTGTGCTCTGAGTACACTCACAGGCCACTGTGTAAAAGATTACCCCAGAGATGGCCATCCCACTCTTAGAGGGGTCCACTGACAGGCAGACGTCCCTTCTGGACGCCTCCTTGATACAGCAGAAGCCCACTCAGGCTCCTTTCCTGTTGAGCAGAGAGAACCATGGATCACTTGGGGAAATATGAGAGAAGGCGCCAGGCATGTGTGCACCTGTGCCTACCACAGGTAGGCAGGTGACAAGTACATGCTCACTGTGCCAAGAAAAACAAGGATCCCAACAATTCAGGTGTTTGAGTACTTAGTGAAGAGTGGCAGCCAGGAACAGTACTTGGGTTAGCTCCGCAGGTTCCCCTCTGGTATCAGCGGCCAAGTATACTTGCTGATAGCCGGTGACTGAGTTAGCACCAAATTAAGAGGCCTTGGTGACTACTCTGTCACATTAAATTCAAGAGGCCTGAAAAGGAGCAGCAGGTGAGAACTGAGGCTTTAGAACACACTTGCCTTCAGTTCTTTAGTCTTTTCTCACTAGACAATCTGTTTCTAGCGTTAAAGCGTCCAGACTGCCTAAGTGATACAAAGATGTCTCTACAAAGCAAGGAGAAACCAGATCACGGAAGGGCAGCCTTCTCTACAGAGCTGCTCTTAAAGGCACAAGGTCTGACAGGCAGCTCCTACCAACAAAGTCCTAAGTACAAGCCCCGAGTGCCACTACGTAACAATGGATTTGAGGTCTAGGATGTACAACTGCTGTGCACAGGCACCCAAGAATTCGCTCCAAGTCTAAGTCCGCTGCCGTGTTCCTGGTAGGAGGTACCAGCCGCTCCAGCTTTGACTCAGGCAGGGGGCTGTTAATCTGCCTGTGTCAGACAGACCCCTGCCAGCCCACCACGTGGCCTCTCAACAAAACAAGGAAGACAGCACAGCCACGTTTCTATGTTAGTAATTATTCTAAGAATTTTAAGTTTCCTAAAATACGTTACTTAACACATTATATCTGAAACGTTCTTAGTGGCATCACAGCATACTTCTTCTCGAACACCTAACTCAGAAAATCCTGTAACCACAGAACCAGAGAACAGCCTAGCACTTAAAATCCCATCAGAGGAACGTCAAGCCATCAGTGCACGTTGAGGGCCCTGCACAGCTGAGAGCTGTGTTTTGTAAACTGCGGTCTCTGGGGAGATGGGAGTCAGGATCTGCCATCACCATTCCCTGAAAGGAGGCTCATGGTGCACTTCTAGAACACTGCGGGTTTGGGGGAGTCCGGATTCACTCAGTTAGGCCACCCAAAGCGCCTCATCCAAGCGGCAGACCTTTGTGAGGTTTATGGCTAACAATGTGAGAAGCCCCTGCAAGAACTACCACTCTGCCCTTACTGTTAGGCTTTCCATGTGCAAGTGGAGTAAACCACACGGATAACAGAGAACAACTTACAGTCAGCCCCAACCTCCAGAACAAACCTCAAGTCCTCTGAGGAAGGGTTCTACAGGTCACTCTTTGAGGACACTGGCATGCTGGGGATGCCAGCAGGCTCTCGGCCCTATGGCAACACTCACTCACTCACTGATGTGACTCAAGACTGGGAACATGCTCGCAGCAACAAAAAGAAACACGGGAGTCAAATACTAGTGGTCTCTGAATCCCGCCGTGCATTGCTGAAGACCACCATGCTATGGGCCTCGATTGAGAAACACAGATCTAACCAAGGAATCCAACTCAGAGTAGACGGTGCCTAGGATGCATAGCCAAGAATCACCCCAGGGCACTCCTTATGCCAGGGACCATGCGGAACTACAGTTGTGTGACTCATGCCGTGTGAGGTAAGTATGTGGACACGCACACTGTGTGTTTGCCTGCACTCAAAGCAATAAGTCTGTCTGTCTCCAAAGAGCATCAGCCATCTGGCCAGTGCCTGACACACTGTGGCATGCTCCTGCATCATTTATACTCAACTGGCCCTCCCTGAGGATGAAACAAAGCATTGTTCTTAGAGGTCTCTTCAGTGGCATTTAAATCACATGGGCTGCACTCTACGGGTCTGAGATTTGGATTATCTTTTTCCATGCTAGGAAAGGAAGGGCTGTCACGAGGAATGACTTTCTCTTCTGAACTAGGCATGCACTTCACAAAATGAAGGACTTCAAAGCTGAGCTGCTTTTCACCTGTGAAAAGGGCATGCTGCTTCTGAGGACAAGCTTTGCCAGAACAGGGACACAGGAAGAAAACAGCTGGGCCTGGAAGCGTACCCTTTGGCTCCTCCCTTCTAGGGAGGAAGAGTGGGTGGAGCTGTGTGAGATCCAGGCCAGCCTGGGCTGCATAGAGAGACCCTACCTTGTGCTATTGAGAACACATCCCATCTAAGAAAGCTCCAGTCCTCTACCACAGCAGACAGAAGGCATGCCTATGGAAGATGCCAGCTTGGGAGAATGGGCCATTGCACACTCAGCTTCAAACTAAGCTATTCCCCTCCCCCATGTAACAAATATAAAAGCCAAGGGCTAGCAAATGCAAAATTTATTTCAACTGTACAGAACAGATGTCTTTTTTTAATATAAAACAGACACTTCATTGCCATAAGCAACCACAGACAATAAGCATACTGTACAATACAATGTAACATTCAGATATACATCCAAGTGAGTTTTCAAATGGGAGTCTTGTTCTAAAATGGCTTTTCCCGTTCACAGGTAAAGAGCACAACATACGGACTTCCCCAGAATCTTATACCACTATATACACATTATTGTGTTTCGGCAATGTTAGGCCAAACACAGAATTAATGTAGTTTAGTAAAGACTTGTGGCGAGGATCAGTGAGACAGGAACACTGCTGGGCCACCTGTAGAAGGCCCGGGATGGCTTGGACCTACCTTCTCGCTCAGTCTGCATTCTTCCGTGAGCACACTCACTGTACACGGCTTTACAGAGCTGCAGAAACGTTAAATACTATCAGCATGACTACAGTCCCACAAACGAGGAAACGATGGCCCCTCCAACGCTGTGTCCCTCTGCCACATGAGGACCATCTCCTGTGCCTGTGGCACTAACAAACTTCTAACCAGGGCACAAAACCAGGGTCAGACACTCAAAAACAAATGCAAAGAATAGTTCAGGCTGTAGTTCCACAGCATTGGCCTAGCAAAAAACAAAACAAAAAACCAACCCTGCCCAAATGGCTCTGACCGGTAAGAAAAGATGGAGGGCAAACCATGAGAACTTTGCTCATCAATCCCGACAGTGACAGCCAGTGTCACTTCACTTGGTGACAAGAGAAAACCTCAAGTACAGCTGTGCCCCCCTGTTGTATCACACAGCTTATGACAGGCAAACCATGCTAAGGTAAGGCAGGGGCAGGCAGCCTGAGGCAGATCAGCAAAGACAGCCACAGAATGGCTATGACAGCAAAGCTGTTTCTGTCACTGTGTGAAATCGAATAAATACTGACGTTTCATATTTTGTTTTTCAAAAATCCCATTTGCTATCTGGATCTATGCAAACCCCCTTTCTACTGGAAATTAACACTGGGTTTAAGTTTTAAAAAGCTCGCTCCTGGACTTTCTTGTAAAAGTCCCAACTCTCACGGAGCATAAGCAGCTTTGTGGCCACTGAACAGACAGACTTGGTGTGGGGAGCTGTGCTGCCCCAGCAGCTCCAGGCTGCCCCTCCTGCCATGCACACGCTCCTCCATTAGCAGCAGCAGGACCCAGCTCCCAGGAAAGGGAGCAAAGGGCACACAATACTGTATACACGGGTGTGGCAAGGAGGGCTAGGGAATCAGGTCATGACCACTAGAGCTCCAGCCCATGAAGATGGGGCACTGTTTTTGAAGCAGATGTCAAGGAGCACTGTGAAGACAGTGCTGCCCCTTAAGCAATGGCCAGGTGTGGTCTGCTGCTACAACTGAACGCGATGTCATTCAGTCTTTCTCAGTGCCAGTGAAAACTCCTTACAACAAACCCCAGGGGGCTATGGGGTGCCTCCCAGGCCAGCGTGTTGGGGACCTACTCAGTCCTCGAGACTGCGTTGTAATCAAGTACAAGGTGACCTATGGGGCTGCTAGAAACGGAGCTTCACTGCAGCTGGTGTTCAGAGTAACAAGGTGCTCATGGCTCTCACAGACAGCGCAAGTCCGGATGTGGGGCAGTCAGGCTGTGGCCAAGCCAAGCACTCAACCAAGCACCCTCTGAATGCAGCTGAGCTGCACCGGCTGAGACGACAGCTTCTGCCTCCGAGTGCAGACTGGACAGTGCCTCGGACTAGCGACCACTGCAGTTGAGGGAATGGTGGTGTGTGATGGTAAGCGGATGTCTCAGCCGTGGTGGTGAACTCACCTTTACAAGGAGAGCTCTCACCTCACAGCCATGCACACAGGAAAGGCACAGAGCAGTGGGTGGAGACAGATCCCAGACTCTGCTCTCAACACCCAATGGTGCCAGCCCTGGTGAGCATCTGCCAGGCACAGAGTCCATGCAGCGTTCTGCACCATCACCAAGGCAGCTATCAGCGGACTCGGTGCTTTGGTTACAGACACTCCTCTCAATCTCTCCACAGCCACTTGGTCAAGTGCATTATACAAAAAAACTAACTAGACTCCTATGTATAAGGCTAGAGACTCCTCCGCTGTGGCACTTGGACGCAAACCTATGCGGCTGCATAAACTAGGAAAGTGTCCATACGGCTGTATCCAAAAGGAAGCCAAACAGTTGTTACATGGAGAATTAAAAAACCAAAACTTCTGGGACTTGTATAAAACACTCCCTAATGGGAAAAGGTCCTCAGGTACAGACTCATTGGACCCACCACCTCCCTCCAACAGGCAGCAGTTGAGCCTCCACTAGGTACAATGGGAAATACCAAGACACTCTCCAAAGTTGTTAAAATATCACATAAGAGAGACAAGGAACAGCAAGAAACGTCTAAGAAAAGCAGGCTGCGGTACAAGCATTGTTAAGAAAGGCTCAGTGCGTTAGTTCTGGTGAGAGATATATGAGCAGCAGCTCTTACGGGATGCAGAACCCATTCTGTAACTATGGGCTGTCCATATACTGTCATACTCAGAGTCTTCCGAGAGGTCTGAGGGCTCCAAACGAGAAAGGCTACTGCGACGACCCAAGGAGTCTAGACTTGATTGGTCGTCATCAGCCAAGACGTGATTATGCATCAGGTCAGTGCCTTGCCATGCTAAGACGGATGGAGTGACAGGTGCGACAGGCAGAGGGGTGAGGAGGACGGACAGGAAGAGCCACAACCAAACATGGAACAAAAGCAAAAGGTGATGGGAAGAGAAGGGAAAGAGAAAATATTGTTAAAAAATGGCAACATGTTCGTTTCTCCTTATAAACTGCTGGGTTTTTACAATGAACTTAGCACAACCCTCAGAACAAACCCAACCACTCACTTCAGTAAGCCCCATCATAGTCCTCCTTCAAAGGCTTCATTTAAAGATACCTATATATCTTGGCTAAAAACTCCAGTACATTCATGTCCTAAATGTGATTCTGTAACAATTGTCAATTAACCAATTCTATCAACAGTCTTATTTAGGACATAATTTATAAAAATATACTAATTGTGTGCTTAACTAAGCATTATTCCCTATTCTGAAAATGTTACACTAAATAGAAATAACTTTCATCAGATTTTTGAGTCATTTCTTTTGTTATGTCTTTGCCGAGACAACATACATCAGCAGCAGGAGCCTAAACTTACCGTGTTGGTCTACAACCTGCCCCAGCACAGGTTGTAGAGTCCCCTGAGTGCAGAGAGGGACAGAGTAGGTCCCTGTCACCTGCCCTGATGTGGTTCTTTACCATCAGGAAGATGAAACAAACTGGCAATGCCACCATGTGGAAAGGGAGGTGACAAGAGGCAGGAGCAAGAGAATGGGGCAGAATTCCATGCATGGTTAGCAATGTGAGCATGAGCTAGTCAGCAGCTAGGTGGGCATGCAAGGCTATATGGGGCTCCTGCGGGGAGAATGCACAGGTAAGCCTCAGCAGCCAAAGCAGGCTGCGTCCCAAGTCTGTGAAGGCCATTTCCATTCCTTCTTTGAGACGGGAAACAATGCCAACTGTGTTTTGTTTGCAACATCCTCTTGGCATCCAAACATGTGCTGAACAGATCAGAGCTTTAGGTAACAATATATTAATTAGCCTTCTCAATATGTTTTGCTAGGCATTTAGTGTGGAAGTGTGTTCACTATGAACCCATTTCCAATGCTCTCATCAAACACGTCACCTGTCCAGCACAACCTGTGCACCTATCCTGTGTCTTAGATGCCAGGCAGTAGCCATGTGTGACGGTAACTTCTGAGGCTCCAGGATGCAGGCTGGGACATAGCACATCAAAGAAAGCAAACTCAGCACAGTGACTACTGCTTTTCTTGCATGGAAAGAATGGACGTACAGAGCGTCGGCCAGGCAGGAAAGAAAAGCTCTGCACAAACTACAGGTTGCCCTACTAAGGCAGCCGAGGTGGGAAGCCACAGCTCTTCTCAGGGCACTGCCTTTTGCCCAGAGGGAATATGGCCTGTGTCACATTCAGGAGTTTACAGACCTGCTGTTTACATCTGAGCTTGGGATACATAAGTTCATATAAGCTTGGGAATTTCCATTTCAGTTTAAGCATTTGAAAGTGAGGTGACTAATGTAAAACCTCAAATCCGAAATCTATGAAACTGCTGGCTTTGTTTTTAGCCTATCATAATCACTGCAAATTATGAAGATGTAACACTTTAATCAACAAAATTCTATTTGTGAATTACCACTCAACCATCCCAATACACAGCCCATGGCTTGCTAGGGTACCCAAACCTCCCATGGCTCTCCTCTACTGATCAGTTACAACAGGTTCTTTCCCAGAGATGGCAGGGACAAAAAAAGACCTCACTGACCCTTAGCAAGACCATAATGCCATAAGCTGCAGCAGACAGTGCAGTGCTGCACCTGGAATGCTCAGCCTGCCACACGGGCTGGCACAGCAGCAGGCTACTCAACAAAAACTCAAGTGCCTGAAAAATCCCTTCCCCACCTTCTGTCTTTTTAAGGCTGGCAAGACATGAATCTGAGCCACCCTGCAGGTGTTTTCAGAGAGCTGGAAAGGGGTCTCTCCAAAACCTGAGATGGAGAAGGGGCAAGACAGGAGATCCACAGCCACTGGTTTCTATGCCAAGCAGTCAGTTCCAAGACGAAGACAAAAGGTGACTGCTAGGCTTCACCTGCCTCAAAGGACAGTGGCCTCTGAGTCTGGCAGTGCCCCTGGATGCTGCCACACTGCAGATCCCACCTGTGGGGAGTTAAGAGAAACTACCTGGAATCTGCTAAAGAAATTAAACACAGCTGGGCAGAGGTGGCACATGCCTTTAATCCCAGCCCCCAGGCGGCAAAAGCAAGTGTATCTCTTTGAGTTCGAGGCCATCCTGGTTTACAAGAGCTAGTTCCAGGACAGGCACCAAAGCTACACAGAAAAACCCTGTCTCGAAAAACATAAAAAAAAATAAAAAAATAAGAACAAAATAAAAATTTAAAAGATAGAAATATCGCTCTAGATTTGAATTTTAGATTATTTTTAAAAGCTTTTTTTTAAAAAAAAAAAAGCCCAGCAACACCATCAAAGAGGAAAAAAATAGCCAGGCAGGCAGTGGTGGGACACGGCCTTCAATCTCAGTACTCAGGGGGGCAGAGACAGGCGGATCTCTGAGAGTTCAAAGCCAGCCTGGTCTACAGAGCAAGTTCCAAGACAGGCTACAAACGCTATAGAGAAACCCTGTCTCTAAAAACAAAACAAACAAACAAAAAAAGAAAAAGAAAAGAAAAAAAGAAAGAAAAGAAACAAAGGAACTTCACTTCTTCTGCATACAGCTGTTTAATTAAAGCTTCACAAAGGATGGAGGCCCACAGTGGATGCTACCTAAACACAGCACCTGGGTATACTGATCTGCCACTTGCTAAGCCCCCGAAACCTCCCTCCAAAGAGCAGCTAGGTCTGTGGAGCAGCTGCTGTAGACTGTGCCCACCAGGGTGAAGAGTGACACTCACTTGAGTTCAGGGTCTGCCGTGTCTTCGCGCTGGTGCAGTAGGCTTCGATGACCTTCAGGATCTGCGCATCTTCTTCCAGAGCAGCAGTGCCTGTTCAGAGACACGCCAGCCATCACCACTCCACACCCCAGAGCTCTGCTGGGCAGGGCAGATGCCAGCCTCACTGTCTCACTGGCTACTCTTCAAGTAGTTACAAATAGGTGCAACACAGAGCTTTGAAGGTCTGGAAACTAGCCCACTGCAAAGGGTTGGCATCACAGCTCTGCAGGGCTCTAGACCCCTCAGAAAAGCAGTCCCCACCCATACTCTGGAAACAGCACGAGACTGGACAGTAAAGACATCAAATCTCGTGAAGACAGGAAGTGAGACTCAGAGCCAAGCACCCCAAGTTTCATAGACTGGGCCTTGATACAGTGTGGGCAGAAGGAAAGCTGTGAGGAGTGAAGACAGGAAACTTTAAGAAAGGCACCAGTTCAGAGGCCTTCAAAGGGACATTCCTTCTGACCCAGGAATTCCCAGGCAGACACTAACATGGTAGGAAAGTCACCATGCCGAGCAGAGGTGCTTCAGAGTTCTGCCTTCAATGTGCTCTGGAGCCAGTTTCCTCTCCAGGCAGAGGCCAGAAGAACATGGGAGGGAGGCAGTGGGAGCAGCCACAGCTGCATCACCTCTGTGCTCAGAGAGGGGGACACACGGAAGAAAGCTGTTTGTTCTCGCTAGGTTTTTCTCTTCTTCAGGCTCTGCCCTAAGGTCCTTAGTTATGTTTTCTTTTGTTTGTTTGTTTTTAAGTTCATCTACTCTAATAAAAACACAGAATAGAAGGCTGATATTCTCATAGCTATAAATAACTGTGCCTCAGTAATTTTTATGTATGTATTTATTTGAGACAAGGTCTCACTATGTAGCCTTGACTGGTCTAGAACTTGCTATGTAACTTACAGAGATGTGTCTGCCTCTGTTTCCTGAGCACTGGGATTAGAAGTGTGCATGCACCACCATGTCCAGTTCTCAGCAACACTGTAAGGGTGTAAATTGTATATAACGCAAACCAAACATTTACTTCCAGACAGTGAGTTGCAGTCCTAAGAGTTGAAAGTCCTTGAAAACGCCTAAATACTTAAGAACACAGGAGGCTGCAATAAAAACTTTGTTGCCTCTGTCTGGGCAGCAGAAGCCACCTTTAGTCAGGCATGCTGTCTGGCTGCTGTGACCACTGCTCTATTCACACTGGGCAAAAACATGTACACCGACTAAGGTAGAGAGAGCATCCCTGAAGTCAGGAGCACAGGGCAGGCTCACTATGTCCTCAACCATCCAGTCGCTCCCCTCACAGCAGCCATATTCTGCTGCCATTCAGTGTGGATTCTCACAGACTGTAATCTCCTGGTCCTCCACGCTAACACGGCATATCCAATTACAGAAGCTTTAGAGTACTGAGGTTTGCTGGGCACCAGTCAGGCCCCGGGGATCATTAACATAACACTTCTTCAACCCTTGTCCTCGGTCTGGCATGTCATCCCTAACACGTGGGGACTTCTGCCTCTCTTCTGAGCTCTGAGCACAGACGACTTTCAGTTAGCTAGCTCAGACCTTTCTTGTCATCAGGCCTACTATCCACTGTATCCTGCCTCCTAGCTGTGTCTCCTAACACAGTCCACCCTGCCAACTGCACTCGTACCTGTGCACCAGTCACACAGCTGAGACCCCTCAGCCTCCATCAATATACACCAATAACACAGGCATCCGGATGCAGGATGCAGAATCCTCGGCCTCCATCAATATACACCAATAACACAGGCATCCGGATGCAGGATGCAGAATCCTCGGCCTCCATCAATATACACCAATAACACAGGCATCCGGATGCAGGATGCAGAATCCTCAGCCTCCATCAATATACACATATAACACAGGCATCCGGATGCAGGATGCAGAATCCTCGGCCTCCATCAATAGACACCAATAACACAGGCATCCGGATGCAGGATGCAGAATCCTCGGCCTCCATCAATATACACATATAACACAGGCATCCGGATGCAGGATGCAGAATCCTCGGCCTCCATCAATATACACATATAACACAGGCATCCGGATGCAGGATGCTCCACAGCGTCCTCAGCCTCCATCAATAGACACCAATAATACAGGCATCTGATTGCGACAAGTAAAATGCTGTTTAGGCACCGAACCACGTCTCCTGGGGCAAATCCACCCACCTGAGGACCAGTGCTGTGGACTTGGTCTTCACAGCTTGTCTCACAGCTGGATGCTAAGCAGCATTAAACGTGTGCTAGTGACTCAAGATCTGACCGACATGCATGTCCCAGCACCCCGTGGTGCCAATCACACAAAAGATACATGGCAAATACTTGTTCAGGAAGGGTCAGCAGGCAGACCTGAGCCCAGACGTGCCATGGATGAGTGAAAGGGAGAGTGGATCTGACCTGGTGGAGCAAAGGTGACCGGAATCCCGATGTGGACTGGTACTCTATGAGTCAGGGGTGGGGCTGAAGACCAGGAGATGCAGGAGCAGAACTAAGGTGGGAAGAGAAGTCTTACAAAGGACAGGGGGCTGGTGAGGCCTGCTCTCCCCTGCACTCCATCCATATACACATGTAGCACTCTGTGAAGGTGATCTCTCCCACATGCGGCACTAGGCCCATGCTCACACAAGTGGGCACTTACTCTTGCGCACAGCGAACTCTTCGTCTGAAGGCTTCCGCTCAGGCTTCCGCTTCGGCAGCAGCTTCTTCATGGTCTTGGGGCTCTTACTAAGATCCTAGGAACACCATCGACAACACACGCTGACAGATTCTGTGTGCAGCCAGCCGGCCACCAACAAGCACCTCCACCCCTACCCCAGCTCTTCCACTTGTCTCTGCCAGAGCCAACACGAACCCAAACCAAGCATCACCATCCCTCTCTCTGTAACACTCCTGAGCTCTGATGAAAGCCCCACCAACAGGACCAGACCCCACGAACTCCAAAAGAGTAAGAGAAAGAGAAAGGACAGGTGGCCCACACACACACTCCCCATAGCTAGGGCAGGGCTGTCCATTCTGGGGTATGAGAGGAAAATAAAGTTACTTTTTTTTTTTTTGGTTTTTCGAGACAGGGTTTCTCTGTGGCTTTGGAGCCTGTCCTGGAACTAGCTCTGTAGACCAGGCTGGTCTCGAACTCACAGAGATCCGCCTGCCTCTGTTTCCCAAGTGCTGGGATTAAAGGCATGCATCACCACTGCCCAGCTAAAATAAGGTTACTTAAAAAGAATTTTGGAAAGTAAAGATACTTTTGAGAAAATACACAAAATTCCAAAAATAAAAGCAAAGGGGGTAGGCAGGGAACCAATGGCTAAGCACAGACCAGTGGGGACAGGACTTGCTGGCTTCTCTGAGCAAAGTAGAGGCGGTGTCCAGCAACCACCTGAGCACCTCTATTTAAGGTACAAACGGAGTGTGCACACAGCAGGCTAGAAGAGGGCCCATCCAGGAGCACAGTAGGCATACAATCTGTCCCAGCTGCCGCCATTACAGAGTGGTGAAGCACTTCTGGGGCATAGCAGGCTCTTAGAGATACTTCTGTTTTCCTGAGCTGCTGTTGCTGCTCTTTTGAGATGATCTATGTAGCCTTAGCTGGCCTGGAGCTCACTGTATAATCAGGCTGGCCTCCAACTCACAGACCCTCCTGTCTGCATCTGGGGTGCTAGAATTAAAGGCATGTGCTATCACACCCTGCTTGACTTCATTTTTGAAACCTCTCTCCTGAGATCCATGCTGGCCTCAAACTTCCTATGTAACAGAGAATGACCTTGGGCAGAAATCAGTTCCAAAAGAACCATACTGGGGACTCAACAGAGCACCCCTGAAATACAGGAGCACCTACCAGAAAGCCCTGTGCATGCTCCAATCACTCTTTATCACACAAACCACCAAGCCCAGGCTTGCACCTATGCGCCACCTGGCTTCTTTCTCACGCTCGCCAAAGCTGAGCCTCCACAGGTGAAAGCAGGTTAGGTGGAGCACATGAGACTACAGACACTTAGTGAGGACGCAAGTGCACTAGGGCTACACTTGGCATGCGGGCAAGAGCAGGAATGGATTGAGGAAGGTTGCTGCAACTCCTCAGAGGCCAAGAAGGCACTGCCTTCAAGACCGCATCATTTTCACTGGGGAACCTACTCTTTACCTCCAACAGCCTCAGTACTCTGGGACAGACCTTGGGCACAGCAGAATGGCACCCATAGGGCGAGGCCCTAGCAGCCAAGCGTTCACGAGCACACCAGGCTTGGTGCCTCATGGCACCATCCCCTCAGGTATGGCACAATACATTCAGATCTGAAGAAGCTGCATGCCTGTCCTATTATGTTTAAAGGTGCCTCCTGGCCCTTGCAGCAGAAGGGGATGACAGAGAGTAAGGACAGACCCTCTTCTCAATTCTAAGGATTCACTGGGGGTCCTTTATGCCATAAATAAAACCATAAGACTTTCGTTTCTAAACTCATCGAAATGACACATGTAACTAACTAAGTGCAGACCCTCACACACCCGGATGTCAAGACATGCTCACTGCAGCTGGCAGTCTGAGTGGCTGCAGGACCTCACCTCCTTGTAGCAGAGAGCAGCTGAGGGCCGGAGGGGAGGTGCAGGCCGCAGGCAGCTCAGGCTCCAAGGCTTGGGGGTCTTCGGAGGCTCCAGGGGTCCCCAGCTGATGGTGGTGTGTGGGGTGCCATGGTGAGAGGGGTGGGGGAGCGTGTGGTATGCAGGCGTCAGTGCCACAGGCTTGCTGTCCGCGTGCTTGCTGGATGGAGTGATAGGATGGGAGGGAAGCTGCCAGGCACAAAAGCAAGAGCAGAGAGCATGAGATGGGTGAGGCCACGGGAGAATATCCTGACCACACGGCTTAAGCCCTGGCCGTACCACGGGAGAATGCCCTAACCACAAGGCTTTAACCCCTGGCTGTACCACGGGAGAATGCCCTAACCACATGGCTTTAACCCCTGGCTGTACCATGGGAGAATGCCCTAACCACACGGCTTTAACCCCTGGCTGTACGACGCTCCCAAGGGATTCTGGGCAGGACATGGGGCTGAGAGACCCACACTGTACATAGGTTACAGCTGCAATGTCACAGCATGTGAGAAACTAGTGTAAGCATCATGACTTCGAAACAAACAAGTATTCCTGTACAGAAATGGTGGCTGATGGTGGGGCATCCTCCCCAGAAATACACTATCACCTGGTAACACAGGAGCAGGGCAAAACCAAGGCCTGTTCCCTGTGCAGAGAGGAGAAAGCAGGGCACAATTCTCTTGGAGCACAGCAGCCAGGCCCCTCCCATCTAGGGCTTTCCTGTTTGGGCACACTCAGTTGCCACAGAGCTGTGTGAAGGCAGGAATATGGACCACTTGGCCTTCATAAAAAGGATGTTAATTTCCATAATAAAGGTTATTTTTCTCTTAAAAATCTCAAGCTTGTTTGAATAAAAATAATTTGAAATCTGATTTTTCAGTGGGGTATGTTATTAATAAGATTTATATTCTTATAAAACCCCAAATCAACCACACCAACAACGAAATGAAAATGTTAATAAAGTAAGCATGACTCAAATGAGCCCCTGGATCTCACGCAGATGATGTAGTTAATGCATAGCTAACAGGAGCTGGCTGCGAAGCTCTGAACTGAATGCTGGAGCTGTGCCGGCTGTGGCACCACAGAGCGGAAAACAGCACCCTAAGCGCCAGGTCAGCCACCAGTTGCTGGCTCATGGCACTTTATCAACACTGTACCACTACAAACAAGCAGCCCACAGAGGAGAAAGCTGCACCCAGCCCCTTGTAGCGGAAACACTGGCTTGTTTCTCTCTACTTGGAAAAGCGGAGTGGTGCCCAATGCTAAAATGAGAGATCACCTGGTGCCGGACCCCAGGGGAACGCAGTACTCCATACACAGCACACCAGCCACGGCACCTTCTTCCCACCAGGGCTGCACAGCGGCCCACAGCAGGGGATCTTACGGCTTCCACTACACGTCACCAAATGCTGAGGCGCCAGGCACATACACAGCAAAGACTATGTGTCAGGTGTGGGGAGCCTGGCTTCACTTTGCTGTTCTGTACATACTCATTCAAACAACCTATATCCCTGAGATATACGTAACCCACAAAAAGTAAGTGGTTTTAATTTTTTTATTATGTTGGTGGCATGGGGAAATGATCCCGGCACCTTGCAACATCAGGGAAATATTCTACCACTGAGCTACACTCCCAATTCCCAGCCTTCTCTTGAGGACCTTCTTAGTTTTTTTGTTTATTTTTTATATTTTTTGAGACAAGGTTTCTCTGTGTAGCTTTGGTGCCTGTCCTGGAACTCACTCTGTAAACCAGGTTGGCCTCGAACTCACAAAAGATCTGCCTGCCTCTGCCTCCTGAGTGCTGGGATTAAAGGCATGCGCCACCACTGCCTGACTCTCCAGGACCTTTCTGAAGTAAGGAGAAATTACGGTAGAGTTCAGCCATGGAGAGTGAGGTGCTAGCTACCACAGCAAGGCATCCAACACTCCAACTTCTGAGACAACAAAGCAAGCTCAGAAAACTGGACCCTGATGTGAGACCATGAGTGGTAGAGCTGAGCTCTTAGGTAACCATGGTGACCCCTATGTGAAGGCACTGATGTAAAAATGAGCTACCTGGCAGAAACTGTCATCATAAACTGTGTTAGCCAAGGTCATTTTTGAAAGGTCTGCTCAGGTGTTCAGTAAAAATGGTTATGTTTTAAAATAACACCAACTTCTCAAGCGAAAAACATACAAAGTTTAAATACCAATGTCAACATGTTTTGAAATTTTTATCTCTAAAAAAAACACAAAGTACTGCTGAGTTTTTTTATTAAGTAAAAAAAAAAATGGTTTTTTTTTTGGGTTTTTTTTTGGTTGTTGTTTTCATTGTTTTATTTTATTTCTGTTTGGAGTTAGGGTCTCAAGTAACCCAGGCTGGCCTTAACATTCAGCCAAGGAACTTCAGACCCTCCTGCCCTCACCTACCAAGTGCTAGGAATACAGTCATGTGCCACCATACCCAGATAATGCAAGGAACTGAACTTTGCACTAAGGAAGACCTCCGCAAGGGAGCCCAGGCCCAACACTGCCACTTTCTAGAGTACGTCAGAAGTGGTGCCCAATGCCTAACACAGCTATCACTTCTCTTTTGCTTTGTCTGTTTGTGAGTAACATATATGAAGTTTTAACTTCTCAGAAAAAGCCACTTACAACAGGGCCCGTGGCTCCTGGGTGCAGTGGGAACTGAGGCAGCGCTGAGCATCACTGAGCTCGCGCATATACAGAAAGTCTGCAAGGCACTTTGCTCTGTGATGACAACTACACAATTAAAACTCGTGCTACAAGGCAGGGTTTAAAACTCCTGCACCCACTGGTGAGAGCCGAGAAGAGAAGCATGTGGCTGGCTCTTACTGTGTGTGACGGCACAGAGTGGGGCTTGATGGTGGGGTTGCTCACAGACGTAACCTTCGTCTGCTTCTGTAGATGGTCCACCCATTCATGCAGGTCCTGCTGGTTGTTGCAAGACACCAGAATCCGCTCAATCATGCTTCCTGGGGAGGAGGAGGTGGAATTACAAGTAAATGCACGAGAGCACCACAGACGCCCAGAGCCTGAGGCCACCTGCACACAGCCTCACTGTGACAGAGAGGCTGCACAAGCTGGGGCACATTACCTGATATCTCAAACGCATTCCTATGGGTCTCGCTGTCCTCAAGTTTTGTGATTGTCATTCCTGTCGTCGGTAACTTTCCCTAAAAGAGAGCCCCCCAAAAATTAATGCTTTTCTAATAAATGTGCCATTAAACATTAAAAGATTTTACACATTGCAGAACCACACGTTCCAAAGAACTACCATCTTAAATAATGACCAAACCATGATGAAGAACCCAAATTGGCAATGGCAGAGTATGAGGCAAAGCGGGACTTTCATCCAGCCCCGCGGGAGAGCGCACACTGCCTTCCAGAGGCCCAACTGATGGACAGGGAGACAAGAGCATACACTGAGAGGCTTTGCGCTATACTCTGTCAAACGGAAATTACGCAGCTAGGACAGATAGCTGCCACAGGGTGCACACAGTGGCAGACATGCTGTCTGTAAAAATGGGAGGATTCACAAGAAAAAGGAAATGTCAGCTGAGAAGTGGATGGGGATAAAGCTCATTTAAACACAACACCCAACAGCACCCAACAGCTTCCTTCGGGCCACACAAACAGCAACAGTTAGTGGTCAAAGACCAAGTCTATATAGTCTATGGCTTTGGGCCCCAGGAAACAACTGTTAGCTGAAGGCAGGACTTTATCAGCAGGCAGGACAGCACCTGTGTCAATTGGACACAGCTACAGACACCTGGGAAGAGGAAAACCTAGGAGAACTGCCAACCTGCCAGTGGCCCCTGGCAAGCCAGTTTGGCAGTTTTCTTGACTACTGACGGATGCAGGAGCCCAGCCCGCTATGGGAAGCACTATCCTTGGGTAGGTGGTCCTGGAGTGTGTAGCAGCAGTCAGTGCTCCATCCGCAGAGATGACTGGACGTGATGCCCATCACCAGGGCTGATCCAGGAACCATCTAGAGTACAAAGACAGCATCCTGCCGCTGAGATGCCGTCTCCAGGGACATGCCACAGCAAGAGATGATCCCAGCACAAGGACAATCTAGGCTCAGGATCTGGGGTACAGGCACCTGTCAACAGGAGCTGACATTCTGGCACCTCAGCTACCCAGCCTCTCCTCAGGATGCCCCACCAATGGAGAGGAGTCTTTTCTGAGTCTTGCCATGCCTATCTGCTCGGCCATCTAGAAAGGGTCCTTCGGAACAACAGTGAGAAGCCCTCCCAGGGGCAGACCAAGCCACATCCTTCCACTCAGGACTCTACACTCCTTGTCAGAACAACATAAAACACAACACTCACATCAGAGAAAAGCCGCTTGAAAGTGAAGAGCAACTGAATGAATGAATGAAATGAACAAATGAATTGAACAAATGAATGAGTGTCTCTCTTAGGTCAGTGTGGAGGCTGGACTCCAGGGCTCCTAGATCCTACCTAAATGTCTCCACCACTAGTCCCTATGGCAACAGAAAAGAGCCCCTCAAGCTTTCTCCCACGGTCAGCTCTCAAACTTTCTCTGGGAAATGATTAAAAAGTAACACATTAAATGATAGGTTACAAAAGGTCAAACGATCAGTGACACCCCCAGGGTATTTATTTGGGGTGTTCTACGCCTTACAACAAACAGATCACAGCCCACGACACCTCGCTGAGCCTAGGCTGTGCACGACAGAACATGAGAGCCCAGAGAAGCACTGCTTTGCAGGGACAAAGCAGCCAGTGAGAGACTGACGTGCACTGCTCACAAATGCACACTTCTCTCCAGGCACACTGAAAGGTGCAACAGAGGTGAGCACACAGAGTAAGCTAACCCAGACCCGAAAGACAAATGTGTACTCACTCATAAGTGGCTTTTAGACAAAGAAAAACTAGAATACAGTTCACAATCGCAGAGAACCTAGACAACAAAGAGAAACCTAAGAGAGACACACATGGATCTAATCTACATGGGAAGTAGAAAAAGACAAGATTCCCTGAGTAAATTGGGAGCGTTAAGACCATGGGAGAGGGTAGAAGAGGAGGGGAAGGAAGGGGGAGAATGGAGAAAATATACAGCTCAATAAAATCAATAAAAAAAACAAAGTCACAGGTAAGAACAGAGTCATCACATCCTGGTATCACAAACTGTGCATATACAGGCATGTCCAATATGAATACATAAATTCAAAGGCATCCTGGAAGCAATTCACTATAAGCCAAAAAGTGTTATTGTTACTGTGTTTACCTGATAGATGAAACCACTCATCCTGGGACTGGCAGACAACATGAGCAGAAGACTTGGGAAGAGCAGGAGGTATCGCTCATTCTTTTCCTAATAGCAAAAAGAATCTGTTCACAAATGTGTACACAAATCTTCATACAAGCCCCTATGAAACCAGAGACTGTGTTTCCTAACTGACATTTCTACCAAATTATGCTAGCAGTATTGAATGCTGACCAAGTATAACCAAGTCTCCATTAGACACAGCACTGAGTCTACATCAGACCTCAGCACTCAGAGAACTATAACCAGTGAAAACAACCACACACTATTAGATTTTTCAAGGCAGAAAGTAATGAAATGATTCAAGAGCCTTGAGCTTGCAAGTTCCTGTAAGACTTTTTTCTTTTATTAAGGTTTATTTAACCAGGTGTGGTGGCACCTTTGATCCCAGCACTCCTGAGGCAAAGACAAGAAGATCTCTGTGCTCCAAGCCAGCCAGGTACCTATACTGAGTCCTAGGATAGTCAGAGCTACACAACTGAGAGACCCTGTCTAAGAAAAACTACAGGTTTATTTATTTATACTGTTTATATGTATCACATGAGTACAGTGCCTAAAGAGGGTGCTGGATCCCCTGGACCTAGAGTTATAGATGGCTGGGAGTTGCCATGTGTGCTTGGAATCAAACCTTGGGAAGAACATTTAGTGTTCTTAACCACTGGGCCATCTCTCCAGCCCTGTGTGGAGTACCTTTGAATACTATTTTGTAACTTTCTGTTCATGGCCCGGAGGGGAAAAAACTAGAAAGGGATGGGGACAGGTTAATTCTTCAAGCTACAAGAAAAATAGGGCAAAAATTAAATAAATATTGCTATCATCTATCTGATTAACCTTTTGTGGTTTATATGGAAAACTTATTTCTTGTACATTAAATACCATTTGCTTCAAGGTAACAAAAGTCATGGAAAACACACACACATCTAAAAGACAAAAGTCAAAGCAACAGGCATGAGTCCTCCAGCATTTGAGCCACTGCCTTCAGAAGTGGCTAAGTACAGCAAACAGTTTTCCCAAGAATGTTCTTCACAATGTCACACCCACCCACAGGGCAGCAGGAATGGGGAGGAGTGTGTGTCCTGAAGAAGGTGCAGAAACAACCTGCTACTTCTCCTGGAGGCACACAGGCTGGGGAGTGCCAACAGAAGACCTCTTCCCTTAAGGGCAGGACAGCACCGATTCTCTTTGGAGGAGTGGCCACCACTGTTAGGGAGACTTAGCACTTTGGGATATGTTGCAAAGTTATCTAAAACAAAACTTAAAAATCACAAGGGTAAGGGGCTGGGGAGAGCTCTGAGTTTAAGAACATTGGCTGCTCTTCTAGAAGACACGTTTGATTCCCAGCATTCACATGACAGCTCACAACTGTCTGTAACTCCATTTCCAGGGATCAACCTCTTCTGGCCTCTGTGGATCCTGCGCAAACATTATACAAAAACATGCGTGGAGGCAACATACCCACATATATAAAATCATTTGATTAAGTGACAAATTTTCAAAAGATTGAGTGTTTCAGGTCAGTGTAGTCAAAGAAGAAAGTGACAATTTCTTACAGTACCCACACTATATAATGTGGTGGGGCTACTCAGACGAGTTCTGCTTCCTCTCTCTCCAAATGGCTGTGTATGTGGAGGGTGACTCAAGTTTGCTCCACCATCAAATGGACTACTCCCATGATGACCCATCAACAGCCAACTGTCACTGTGGAAGGATGTCACTGAACAAGCCAGCAACAAAGCCAGACTCCCAGAAGTAGGCACCAGAATACACACACGCCATTGCCATAAACACTAGGCTCCCTAAAGTGTGCTCTGACGAGAAGCCTGAGCTCGGCCAGGTAAGTGTCCCTAGAAGACACCTGTATATGGTGAGACACAGTCTTGGGTGGATGCCCTCTCAGTTCAGAGCTCTGGACCAAGCTGACCCTAGGTGGGTATGAACTGACAAGCCTGTCTGCTCTCAGCTTTCCACCCACACCGTAAGCACTCCACATCTGTCAAGGGTAGAGAGTGGCCACACAGGTAAGACTCTTGCGCGCTGACGCAGTACATGCTGTTATTCTAGGCCTGAATACAAAAACTAGGAGTGGGACAGGTGGGGAAGCGGGGCCCAGTACCTCGCTTCCTGCGCACTGAATCGTGACTTGGGACATGTACGTGACAGCACCCAGCGTCTTTATGTCATCCCCCTCCCAGCTGCGGATCGGCTCCGTCAGAATCTGCAGCTCCAGCTCTTTCCTTTTCCGAACCTCTTGACACTGGGCCTGTGGGACACAGCACACAACTGTTTACAGACACAAACTCCCAGAACCTTGTTTTTACCACACCGCTTGTGCTTTTACAATTACTGTTCTGTCCAGTCGAATAATGAAGGGTTAACTGTACGGAGTTGGTGGAATCAAGGCAACAAAAGCATGCACGTGCTCCGGCACCTTCCACTCCCTAGGCAGTTGTCAGTTTCAGTAAGCCATGTTCAGAGTGGACTAGAAGAACATTTCCTTCTGGCTTCATCAGTGTCTGCGAGCAGACAAGCCCAAGAGGAGGAAGTAGCATGTGCTATAATATAATACATGGAACATGTGTCTAAACCACAGCTGGGCAGTATGACAAGTGAGGACCTGTGTCCTGGGTGGACTTGGAGGCAGGGAGTTAAATGACTTCATCTACAGCAACAACTACGCCGTGTCCTTTCTAAATTTCATTAGTCTCAGAGTACACTCAAGGAGGAGAGCTCACTGGTCATGGAGTGTTGCTACACACGGCCTCTACCTCATCCCAATACACAGTGCGTTCACTTCACAAGTCACTTGTTTACTGTGTCTTTTCCAGTGGGTTTTAATTCAACATGCATTTGTGGTGATAGTATCTGAGAGAAAATATAACAAGTATGTTACATGAACCCACGAGAGTCTGTTAAAGGATCTCAAGAATTTGCTTACATGAAAGGGGTAAACACTCACTGACATAGGGTAGATGCCACCTTGATCCAGCGGCTGTGTGAATCAGGAGGGCTGAGGTCCAACCACCCGAGGAAGAAAACAAGAGTGTGACCCTTCCCACTCAGCTTATTAAGGGTCACACAGGCAGACAAGACCATACCCTAGGGCTTCCTGCCCTAAAAGTCATCGGCTAAACAAATCAAATTCCTACAACATAAGCAAAATCACTCACTGAAAGGTTTTTGAAGGCAGTCATGGACTTTTGAATATCTTGTCTATCAGGATGATAATCCTGTGGATAAAAGACAGACATGACAAACAGTCACACTGGGAACATCCTGGAGACTATCCTAAAACTTCTGATACTGTTCAGCCCTTATTAGCTTCTCAGTGGCTGGGGGCTGCTCATCTTTTAAGGGATCATGGAGCCAACAGACTTGAGGAAAATTAATTTGGAACAAAACTGCCAAGAGGGGTCAGCAGGCAATGCTATTCTGTAAATAAAGCCTCATGAGAGCATGGCCCACGCCTGCTTACAGCCATCTCTGACTGCCCTGTCCTCTAAGGGCAGAGCTGAGCTCAACAGTTCCAAGCCTAGCGATAAGCAGGCCCAGGGTCCCTGTCAGCTCTGTGAGCTGCTATCCCAGACAACAACAGACGTTCCCATTATCACCCTGCAACTCAGGCTTCTACTGCTTGTAGCTCAACTCTGACACAACACCCAGCACTACTTGAACATGACACTCTGCAGCTTCTGGAGCACTTGGGGAGCAGATGGGTACATGAGGGTGTTGGAGGAAAGAAAAAGACGATACTTTCTTCTAGAGCTGGATGAGGAGAAAACCTCCACGCTTAACAAAGTCCCTCTGAAAACCACTCAGTTACAAACTCTAGACGAGCTCTGGGGTAACCTCACGGACATGAGGCCTGACAAGGTTCAGGGTCTCAGGTCAGGGAGCAGTAGCACCTCCATGTGTCTCTCCAGCTCCTTCAGCAGTGTTGGGTACTTGTCCAGGCGCATGAAGGGCTTGCTGAGGCCAGTGGTCAGCACCAGGATCCCAGGACTGCTGGCACCTTTTGATTCCATGAACTCACCCAGGTCCTCACTGAGCAGCAGGGGTAAAGAAGGAAAGAGAAGAGGCTCCAGTTAGGGACACAGGGCCAGGGCTTGTGTCACAGACAGAAATGTCCTATGGCGATGGCTGCAGTTTTACACCCACAGATGTGCCAGTTACCATGCAATGTGAAAAGTCTCCGACAGCACTCTCACCTCCATCCCACTGACAAAGGGCCCTGGGCAGGCTGGCTTCGTGGAGCTTTTACCAGTCCTCAGAGATGTCCAGAGTACAAACTGGTGACAGCATCCTTCCATAAGCTGTCTCTGAGCCTCAGAGACCTGTGGGAGGGGGCCATACCCTGATGTGAGGTGTGCCCCGAGTCCTAGTGAACTGACCTCATTCTCTAGGAGCAGTAGTGGTATGCAGAGCACAGCACAGGGCCAGGCAAAGGCTCTGGCATGGGGAGACTGCCACAGCATCACCCCAACTCACACCCACAGAGTATGCAGAAAGCAGGTGGGGACTTACGGCATTCCCAAAATTTAGAGTGCATTAAACCAAGTCTGAAACACTCCCCCCTTCATAGTCTTCTCACTGCTCAGCAATGTTTCCTATGACGAGTCCCTGGCGACAAGCAGGATCTAGGGTCCTCAGTTTCTACTGGGCCCTCGACTGGGGTCAGTTTTCTCATGGCCCACCTGCTGGGTTTGCTCTAGGTTCAGAGTCCTGCTAAGAACAGTATCTCCACCCTTATCTGCTCTCCATAAAGCACCACGGTGAGTAGGAGAGACGCCCATTTTACCAGCTTTCTCTGAAACAAGCAGTTGATGAGGTACAGCCCATAAATCCATCAAATTCAGAGCCCTTCTCCAAGGGAAAACGGGCCCCAGGCAGTAAGGTGGTCCAGGGTTTAGTGAGGTTGTCATAACACAACTCAGAAGTCTTAAGAACAAAGCAGACTTTAAACACACCATGTGATCTGCACACAGCATTCTGCTGCTGCCAGGAAAGACATCCACAGCCAAGAAAGGAAACAGAACTACACAAAACCTCCCAGGCAGTTTCACCTTGACTTTGTTGTAGCTTCTTAACATCATGATTAAGAAAATAATTCACTATATAATTCTGACAGAATGACGGTAACAAACCAGTGAAAAATGTGTTCTTAGAGAATAACTTAAAAACTTCCCTCAGAACACGTGGACCCTAGGACCCTGTGTCTACCATCAACAAAGGAAAGGTTCCCATGGGCACACACATCAGATATACAGACAGGGCTAGGGATAGGCTAGACTGCTTGCTGAGGGCCAAGTCTAACAGCTAAGAACACAGAACCGAAACCCAGTGTTTGCACATTCGCACCAGTGAACTACACTCCAGCTTACAAAAGCAAAGCTTTCAGATAGCTCAGGCATCAAAACACAACCTACTGGCCATGGTGTGGCAGCTGAACAGCCATCAGAGCTACAGGGAAGCAAAGACTAGCTAGCTGGCCCGGCAACTCAGTAGAGAGAACGATGCAGAAACAAGTGATCAGACACGAGAGTACATGACTCTAAGCACCAACTTACGCCTCAGGAGGGTGATGGGATCTGTGGCAGGCTGAGGGGGACCGCTCACAGCTCAGGTACCTCAGAAGAGCACACAAACACCACATCTTGCTATATCTGCTGGCTCAGAAAGACTCTCCTCTTTACGGCTCAGGATCCCACACCCAGTTGTTCCAGGCTGTTCAGAGCAGACCCCAAGGTCCCCACTCCACAGCCAGCATGCCACGTTGAACAGCAGCTGGGACAATCCCCAGCCAAACACCTCATCTGTGTCCTTCCCCCCTGCTATTTTGAGATACTGTGTTTGCCTTTCAGACGAGACCCAAATAGTCACTGGGGTAATAGCAGAGTGGAGGTGAACAGCACTGCCCACTGCATTTCTCCTCAGCTCTGCTACTTTAACCACCTCCCTCCCACAAGAAGGACGTTAGACCAGACACTCTCCTGTGTGTGGGGGTGGGGACAGAACATCTCCTGTCTCACTACATCATTAATTCTTTTTTTTTTACATCATTAATTCTTACAGAACATTTACAGACACAAACTTGATACCTGGGTTTTGCTTTTGTAAAATTTTATCATTTCTAAGCTCTAAGCGGTCAATGAAGCAAGTAACTGAATATAAGCTTCACACTAAAGAGAACACCCGGGGAGGAAGAAGGAGAACACGGGGCAGGCTTCTACTTTCCCTCTGACTATGAAGCACTCCAGTTCCTTGCTTTCCACTCAGAACTACAGGTGTTAAACAGACGGGGTCAGCAACACTGTGATCCTTGCACACCTGAGCACACCAATGAGCAGAACACATCCAGGCCACTTAGTCTTCTTACCCAGTTCAGACCACAAGATCCCAAGCCTCAGTGTGTGCTCTGGCTGACTAAGGCGTGCGTGGTTCTCTACTACTTATCACAACTCCACGAACAAGGGCTCTGCTGCATTCCCAGGAGGCTGGCCAGGCTGGTTCACCCGAAGGGTGACTTGTGCTCCACTATTTTAAAGCAGATCCAGTCGGGAACCCACTCTGGCCTCCGCTGCATTCCCAGGAGGCCAGGTCAGTCCACCCAAGCTATTACTTGCTGTGCTCCAGTTTTAAAGCAGAGTCCAGACAGGAACCACTAAAGCCGCTGGGATAAAAAGCACACACATCTTGATGCTGATGCACACTTTCCAGTAACAGCTCTGAACACACTGAACTGCTGTTCACAACAGAAACCACATCATTTCTTCCAATAATAACAAAGTTGCCGTGATAACATAGAAATGCAGAGCCTCTTCAAGCATTAGAAGCCAGTCCTGAGTATGCTAGACATTTGCTCGGTCTCCTGGCATGATACCAGCACTCACCATGAGACGGCTCAGAACACCTGAAATACCCAGCAGTCTTTCCTCCCGACTCTGTAAAGAGGGGAACCCTACACGTTAACTCTGTGTAGACTGGAAGGCTCAAGCACACGGTTGCAACCAAATCCTCTGCCCGCAGACAGTCCTCACCTCCAGCAGCCGCTGCTCCCACAACTGCCCAACCCAATCCAGTCTCCAGCACTCCCACCCGCCCAGGAGAAAGCTAATTTCTGAAGCTTCTAGGCGGCCAGCAGCAACTTCCTAAGCACTTACCAGTTCCCCTCGATGCTAAGGAAACTTCAGAAGGGCCCTCTTCTGTTCTGTTTTTCTGTTTAGTTGTTTGGTTTGGAGTGTGCGTACATACGTGTCTGGAGATGAGCACACAGGCAGGCACACATCAACAGTCCAGGGAAGGATGCTGGTTGCCCTGCTCTATTACCTCCACCATAATCCTGGGACACAAGGTCTCTCATTTAACCTACAGCCAATCTGGCAGTCAGTAAGCTCTAGCAATCCTCCTGTTTCTGCCACCCACAGCAATGGGGCTCCAGGAGTTAAACATATGGCCATGTTGAGCATTTTTAACATGGGTGCTGAAGTCTACACCCAAGCCCTCATGCTGTATAGCAGCACTGTTACCCATGAACCAACCACCTGTCCAGCCTGTGGTGGCCTGGATGAAAATGGTCCACATAGACACATAGGGAGCAGCATTATTGGAGGTATATCCTTGTTGGGGTAGGGGTGGCCTTGCTGGAGGAGGGAGAGGGAGAGAGAGAGACAGAGACAGAGTGTGTGTATGTAGGGCTGAGTCTCAGAAGCTTAAGCCAGGATAGGTGGTTCAAGTCTCTTCCTGTTGTTTGCCAATCCAGATGCAGAATTCTCAGCTCCTTCTCCAGCACCATGTCTACCTGTACACACTACCATGTTTCCTGCCATGGTGATCATAGACTAATCCTCTGAACTGTAAGCCAGCCCCAATTAAACATTTTCTTTTATAAGAGTTGCTGTGGTCATGGCGTCTCTTTATAGCGATAGAAACCTAAGACACAGCCCTAGAACCCTTTTCTTTCACAAACACACCGACCAGCCTTTCGGATTTTTAAACAGATGTTCAAGCACTTATTTTGAGGGCAAAATAAACTTATCCTTGTTTAGTCTGAACATTGTTACATGGGTCCAGCGCTGCCCGCCTCCCTTCTGGCCCAGATATCCCAGCCAACAAACCTATGTTCTGTGAGGACGCTCACAGCAGACGGGTGGTTGGCACAGTAAGCGAGGTACAGGGTCCTCATCTGTGGCATCAGGCTCAGGAAGCAGCCGCCAACTCTCTGCTGGGCCTCAGGAGACCTGAAGGTGTGACATAGAAACACCATCAGACAGGAAGAAACCAGCAAGGGGCAAATGCATCAAGGTCTTCCCCTCTGCCCAGACTCCATACCTTTCTAGCCCTGCCCACTCCCCTACAGGCTGAGGGACTAACCAACCTTTGACAGTGTCCAGAAGGCCAAATCGGCCGTGCCTCATGACTGACCAATCTAGCCAAACCTATGTTCTCTGTGTGGTTAGGAAAATGTAAATCCTGAAGTCTCAAATACTGTATACAAAGTTAGAAGTGACTACACATGGCTGCCTAACTAAGATTTTTACACAGGTAGTAACGAAGTATCACAAGTACTAAAGACACCTGTCACCACAGGTGACAGGGGCTAGAGATGAGCCACTTCTTCCTACCTCTAGGCAATGGCAATAGGTCACAGCATTCTAAAGTTTAAAGTCAAGAACAAGAAACAGCCAACTGGAACCCCGTGTGGAAATGGAGTGCAGATGGCAGTGAGACGGGGCATCAACCAGCAGGACACAAGTAGGCTACATTCAGGGGTCACTGGGAGCTTGAGGAGCTTTCTTTACCCATCTCTCCAGACTGTAGGCCTAGGACAGGACAGCATGCTACCAACAGGGAGCCTGAGAGGATACCCCCAGGAGTCCACATCCACCAGGGTCTCAGTACACAGTAGGAAAGAGGACTTCCTGCTCTCTGGGGACTCTGACCCAGAGAAAATAGGACCAAAGCTATTCATACCAGAACTCCTCACCAAAGCCAAATCAACAAGTCTTGACCCAAGTCAGTGCTGCAAAAGCATTTTTTACGTTAGTCTCAAGTGTAAGCAGCTGCGCTGGTCAGTTTTATGTCAAATGAACATAGGCTAGAAACATGAATGACAGAGGAGAACCTCTACTGAGTAACTGCCTCTAAGATCTGCAGGCAAGCCTACAGAGCGTTTTCTTAACGAGCTGACCACGGTGGCTCGTACCACCCTGGGACTATAAGAAGGCAGGCTGAGCAAGCCAGTAAGCAGCATTCCACCACGGCCTCTGCATCAGCTCCTGCCTCGGCCTCCCTCAGTCATGGGATAAAGGATATATAAGTCAAAATCTTTCCTCCCCAAGATGTTTTTGGGCACGATGTTTCATCACAGCAGTGGAAACCCTAACTCAGACAGTAGGCAGAGGACTGACAAAAACTTCTGCCTAACAAGATGGAAGGGCCAAAAGGAAGACACTGAACACTTGTGGCACGGGGTTGGGGTACACAGGGGCCATGGCAGAGCAGGCATTAGACAAACGTAAGGCTCCGAGACCAATTCCCTGCAATGCAAATCAACGTAAACGAGAAACAGCACAAAGCGAGGACAAGAACAATGAAATAGTAAGAGAACAGAGTTCTAACCCCCCCGCCCCACCAAGACTAGAAAACAGTTTAGACAGCAGAGGAATGCTGCCCTGCACCATTAGAGTTCCAAAATGGAAGAGACAAGTGCAGGCAAATTAAAGAAATAACCATGAAACTGGGCAGTATGCCTGAGCAAGATGCCAGTGCCCATATAGGAAGTAGCCCCTTCCCATGTGCCAGGGTAAGCACTAACCCAGACAGGCAGCACAGAATCTCAAGTCAGATCCTAGCAAGAGCCACTGGAAGCTGAAACAAGCCTCACAGAGGGCGAGTAGCTCAAGGGTCCCTCAGCACCACACAGACTCAACACAGCAACACGAAGATGGGCTCAACTATATCCACTGCTACCCAAGTCTGTGCTGACTGCGCGCCCAGAGCACACACCCTGTTAGAAAGAGAATCAACCACACAGAACAAGAGGGCCACCACAAAGGAGGCCTGAGACCTGAGGAAGAGGCTGGGACTAGACCAGTGAGGGTATCATCTCTGCTCTACTTTCCCTCATGAACCAAACCCTAGAGCACAAAAAGTGCTCTCAGCTGCTGAGCTGTCTCTCCAGCCCCAGGTTTTATTTCTTGGTGTGGATATCTTAATTATCTTTCCTATAAAACAACAGGATGGAGAGATCATGTATTTTTAAGCAGCATTCTACTCTCGGACCACCGGTGGCACTATGGACGGTGGAGAGCGAGAGCCAACAGGTGTGTTTTTATCTTCCTTTCGTCAGATATTCATCTGTTATTTGGAGGAGGTTACACTGCACCGCACAACCATTGTGAGAATGAGCCTGAGAAGGTCTGGTTCCCAGCATCCACATGGAGCCTCACAAGCCTCTGTAATTCCAGTTCCAGGGGATCCAATGTCCTTCTCTTACCTCGACTGATACCAGGTACACACCTAGTATACATACATACATACTTACATACATACATGCAAGCAAAGCACTCATACACAAAAATAAATCTACATTGTTTTAAATAAAACAAAAACCTAAGGACCAGGCGGTAGTGGTGCATGCCTTTAATATCAGCACTTAGGGAGGCAGAGGCAGGCAGATCTCAGTGAGTTCAAGGCCAACAAAGTGAATTCCAAGATAGCCAGGACTGTTACACAAAGAAACTCTATCACAGGGGGAAAAACAAAACAAAACAAACAAAACCACTAAAGCAACCTGAGTATCACACCCAAGTCATTACATCACTCAAGAAATTCACTAATTCAGTTTCTGCCTAACTGACTCACTGGCTAGACAATTGCCTGTCAACTGTGTTCAACACAAGAGAAAGACAAGGAGAAAGGAAATCAAGTGAAATGCTCTTTTCCTGCAGACAGCATCTGGGAGCAGAGGCGAACCGGGGTGATAAACCTGCAGGCAGAGGCCAGAGCGGACTTCCCCAGCACAGGGCGCAGACCTTCCTTCACAGGCCAGCAGGCTCATTGGCCCTCCAAGGTCAGCTGTATTTTGCTATGGCCTCACAAGAGGGACAAGGACCAGGAAACTGCAGGAGCATGAACCACAGCCATAGCCACCTGCAGAGTCTGAGAGGGTCCAGGGCTGCTGCAAACAGGCAGGGGATGGTGACCCTAAAACTCTAACTTCCAGAGGCTGAGGAAGATGGTATAGTCCACACCTCCCCAATCTCTAGTTTTACCCTTCCTTGGGCCAGACTGCAGGACTAGCCAACTGTACACTTGACACCCTGCCTCAAGACATAAGCAACTCAAAACTGGTCTTGTGACCTTATCCCCAATCTCTGCCTTGCCTTCCTAAGGTAGTTGGCACCAATATTTCTCAATCAGATGGACTAAAAAAACCCATGTCCATGTCGCCAGAACACATGCTAAACTTCAGCTATTTTACCAGGAGCTAAGTAACCAGAAGCTACCACACATCTATAATGCTACTCACCAGAGAAACTGAGGCAGAAGGAGCACAAGCAGAACTCAACACCAGTCTGGTACCTTATCAAAAACTTCCTTTTTATGTGTATGGGTGCTTTGCTGGATTGTATGTCTGTATGTGTACGGGTGTTTGCTGGCCTGTATGTCTGTGCACCCACTAAGCCACCTCTCTGACCCCAGAATTCATTTTTTTGTAGAAGCAATTGGTAAGCCATGTCCTACATTCCCATCACAAGTGCTGTGAAAGAAATGCCATCCAGTCGGAATACAGTCAATCTAAGGAACTGTCACCTGAAACCGTATGTCAAACACATTCAAGAGTACTCAACACCAAACGTGAGTTGGAGGCAGCCCAGAGACCCTAGGGGTGGGGAGATCATCTGAGAACCAACCAGTATTTCACCATGCAGAGAGGATGCATGCTGTGTAGAGACTGCTGCATTTCTTTATGCTGCATTTGCTTAATGTACCTGATTGGTCTAATAAAAAGCTGAATGGCCAATTGCTAGCAGTAGAGGGGGAGGCAGGGCTGGCAGGCCAAGAGGAGGGATGTAGGCTAGCAGTAGAGGGGGGCAGGGCTAGCAGGCCAAGAGGAGGGATCTAGGCTAGCAGCAGAGGGGGGCAGGGCTGGCAGGCCAAGAGGAGGGATCTAGGCTAGCAGCAGAGGGGGGCAGGGCTGGCAGGCCAAGAGGAGGGATCTAGGCTAGCAGCAGAGGGGGGCAGGGCTGGCAGGCCAAGAGGAGGGATCTAGGCTAGCAGTAGAGGGGGGCAGGGCTGGCAGGCCAAGAGGAGGATCTAGGCTAGCAGTAGAGGGGGGCAGGGCTGGCAGGCCAAGAGGAGGGATCTAGGCTAGCAGTAGAGGGGGGCAGGGCTGGCAGGCCAAGAGGAGGGATCTAGGCTCAAGTGAGAAAAAGAGAAAGATGCCTGGGGCCAACAAGGCAGCAGACAGACAGACAGACACAGAAGAAGCAGGAAAAATAGGACATACAGAATGAATAAAAGGTAAAAAGCCCTGAGGCAAAAAACAGAGGAAGAGAAACAGGTTAAATTAAGTTATAAGGGCTAGTGGAATGGACTAAGATAAGGCGGAGCATTCATAACTAGTAAGAAGTCTCTGTGCCATGATTTGGGGACTGGCAGTTTGAGAAAGCCTGCTATAGATACAAGTTTTGCACTAAAGTCCACTACTCCATCTCTGTTGTCCCAGTTTTGTCTTAAACCCTAATCCCTCAATAAGGCATGCAAAGGAGTTAATGAATTAACACACCTCAATACTCAGAATAGTGCACGGCACAAGTTGGAACTTAATAAACAAAAGGCATAATGAAAAGTAACCCTTCATGGCTATTTCTAATGACATGTTGCCCGTATGTGACGATCTACATTTTATCACCTCTTACAGGACAGAGCAACACACAGCTAGAAGACAACAGGGGGAAAAGCCACCCTTCCCAGTACATAGCACATAAGCAGTTCAGCTATGGTTCACCTGTACCTCACTCAGCTTAAATCATCCCTCCCCTGAAGTCTTTCCCTATCTAAACAGTCTGTCATGAAAACCATCCAGTCTAACTCACAGCTTTAACACACACAAAAAAATATGCCTTGGCAATGCTGAAGCATGCATGGGTAGCCAGTACATAGCGGTTCTGCTGAACTTGTCCATTTTGGGTTTTGTGATCTAAGTTGACAAGGATGACTGACCAGGTCTCTTCCTCAAGAGGGCTCCAGATCTCATTACAGGTGGTTGTGAGCCACCATGTGGTTGCTGGGAATTGAACTCAGGACCTTTGGAAGAGCAGGCAGTGCTCTTAACCTCTGAAACTTTACCCAAAATAATAATAAAAAAAAAAATAACCTAGCTTCTATCTTCAAAAATGTTAATTCTAAAATTATGTTAAACTTGATGCTTTTGATACCAACCAAGCCCATACAGACTTGTAAGCTTTTGGCAGGTCACTTACTTGGTACATTCTTCTAAGGACTGTACAAGCACTTGCTGGAAGGAAGATATTTCCTCTAGATTTCCCATTAAATATGAAGTGTTTGCTGAACTCAACCTAAGGCCAAGAAAAACAAAAGCAGAATTCTGTCATTGGTCTAACTTTGCATCCTGGTTTTGAACCATGAAGCCTTACTGTGGGCCGTAACCCAATGACCACAATGCTGTGTCCAAGGCAAGATGGCACTGTGATATCCCCCTCCCTCCTCTGCAAACAGCAGCACAGACTGAGGGACTGGCTGACACTCAGCACTCTGCAGTCAACTTACTTCTCGCTGGTCTGCAGGGGCCGCAGGTAGGTTGAAAGCATAGACTGCAGCTCCTTAGAATAGTCATGCTCTGTTTCTAGGATATTCTGTAGCACCTGCAACAATAATAACCACCATCATTCACACTGCAAGAGTTATTTGCCATAATTTATAACCTTTAGCAAGTTCATCATCATTGTTCAAGTCATATTTTGTTACTAATACATTTACTCCTCTGTGGTTATAACTACTAACCCTATGTAATGAATTATTATTGCCAGATGTCTGACTTCACCATACTGACAACAGGTATACCTAGGTTGAGTGAGATCACATTCAGTCCTTGGACAAGGAAGGCAAGGTCTGCTTAAATCACAAAGAACTGTGACAGTCCCAGAGCACTGATGAACTGACGTGTCTCAAAAAAGCCACCACCAAGTATCGCACACAAAACCACCTATGTGGTCTACAAGCAGGAAGCTAACTACAGTAACAGGTTTCAGGGGGTGCAGGGTTACACATCAACACACTTGCTGACGCTCCCTGAACTAGATAAAAATCTGTTCTTTATTGTATGCAGCTGAACATTCCTACGCAAAGCAGCCCAAATCCAAAGTCATCAAGAATCTCGAGCTTTTGAGTTCTATCAGGATGCTCTAAGTTTTAGACTTTGGACAACTGCAGAGTTTGCATTTAAGAATGTTCAACCAGGGGGCTGGAGAGATGGGTCAGTGGTTAAGAGCATTGCCTGCTCTTCCAAAGGTCCTGAGTTCAATTCCCAGCAACCACATGGTGGCTCACAACCATCTGTAATTAAGGTCTGGTGCCCTCTTCTGGCCTGCAGGCATACACACAGATAGGCTATTGTATACATAACAAAGAATGTTCAACCACTAAAGTCTATGCAAGTATTCCCAAACCCAGACTCCAAAATCTGACAAAAGTTCTGGTTCCAAGCATAAAGACAATGGACACAACCTGTCTGTAGGACATATCTCAAATACATGGACATCACTTTTTAAACCAATGGGTTGCAACCCTCTGGGGTCAAACTATCTTTTCACAGGGGTTGCATGTCATATATCCTGCATATCAGATATTTTACATCACAATTAATAACAGTAGCAAGATTATAGTTAGAAAGTAGCAATGAGATTAACTTATGTTACCACAACATGAGGAACTGTAGAGTCTCGGTGTTAGGAAAGTTGAGAACCACTGCTTCAGACTGCGTGAGTCTAAATAAACTTGTGGGAAACAGCGACTTTCATCAGAAAATACAATGTCTCAGATCAGCCCACACATAACAGTACTGAAGATGAAAGGCCTACCCAAGTAAAGATAGCGCAGTAATTATAAACTAAAGGTAAAATAAAATCTTTCCAAACTTAGCAAAAACTAGTGAGCTTCTAATACCAAAGTACCAAACAGATGAGCTTAAACAAATGCTTCCCGCCAGAAACCACGCCCCCACACACACACAGCCAACCAAGCATGAGAGAAGGTGTGGACTTCCCCAGGGCCAGGGCTACAAGCACTGACTCCAACACACTGCCACCTGTCCTTGCACCTAGCAGTAATCAGAAAACAGCAGTCTTTAACCCCTGAAAAAACACATCCTTTGTTTAAGTCTGATATGAAGACCTGTCATCTCGGCTACTCAGGAAGCCAAGACAGGGCAATTACAAATTCAAGATCTGCTTGGCCTATGTGGCAAGTTCAAGGAGAGCACGAGCAACATGGGCAAACCGGACAACATGGGCAAACTGGATAAACTGTTTCCAAATGATTCAAGAGGGAAAGGAAGAGAGGATGAACTGGGGACCTAGTCCCTGGCAGCCCAAGACCTAGGATCAAGACCCAGGAGTAGGAGTCCCCCCCACCTCCCCATCCATACATATGAAGTTTCTTTTTCTGAGCCGTTAGTGCCTTCCATATTAGACACCTGGTGAACTGCAGAGCCAAAGAGTAACTGTCACCAGCCCCACAGGGCAGCTCTAGACCCAAAGGGGAGAAATCGGAACTCTTCAGGGCCCCTCCCCAGCCTTTTCCATCCTGCCCTTTAGACAGCAGGGGCTGTTTGAACTAGGTCACAGTGTAGGCCTTCGGAGCACTTCCTGAATACTCTGTACTACCTGCCTCACAATGCCCACACACACCTACCAACTCAACACACAGACTGCACGAGGTGGCCAAGACAGCAGCACTGTGTCTTTCTGACCACTCTGAGGAATCTCAACTCAGGTTTAAACACTTCAGCCTTCACAGGCACCATCTGACTGCTCTTCAGGGCAGCACTGACTCTGTGAGCTCAGAGGAGATGAAGTGCCATGAGCAGCTTACACACTCAACCCCAAGAAGAAACACCACGGGCTCTGTCTCTGCTGATGTCCAACTCCAGCTTCATTATGAATGGACTTATTCATGGGGACAGCTGGGAGACAGCCAGGAAGGGGAGGGACCAGGCAGAGAGTTCATTCCTTTGTGGGGAAATCTGGATGCTGCACCCACAATGACAATGTCCTCCTAACACTCAGTGAACTCAAGTGTCAAAGGCCTGGTGACAGCAGCACACTGTGACTCAAGACACTGCTCTAGAGACAGTCATTTACACCAGACATGGTTCTCAAAAAGCCACGAGAGAGGAGGGCAGCCACCACCGCCCCTGGGTCTAAAGAGAGAGAAGGCTCTTCCCAGGGCATGTGAGAGGAGGAGCTCTAAGTCACTGTCACAGCACAGGGAGAAGAGACAGCTGGAGACCCTAGCAGGACCCACCCTCAGAAACCCAGCACATTTCTGAGGTGCTGGGAAAGGGAAAGCACAGCTAGTGTCATGGTGCAGAGAACCCAGGACACACCAGCCTCCCTTAGCCACAGCCCTGAGCACAGACACACGTCAAGACTTCCCCAGAAAACGCCACAAAGCGGCCCCACAGAAGCCAAGCTCATTCTATTGCTCTACTCCAACTACTGCCTACTACCACATACTACTTTCAGACCATTCCGTAGCTCTCTCCAGAAAACCAAGCAAGATGCACTGGTGTCTGCAGGAGCACAGACAGTCACTTATTTACTCACCCGCTCACACTGGTGTCTGCAGAAGTGCATACACAGGCACACACCCACTCACCCGCTTACACCAATGCCACCAACCCCTCACTGAGGAGGCTTATGTGCTTTTTGACCTGGGCAGCCTCATCACCCTACCTGGCCTGAGTCTGCCAGTCATTAGCCTCACCTCTCCTCCTCTTTGTGCCTCAGGCACACGGTGGCTGCTGCAGGACCCCATGGACCTCACCCCAGCCGCCACGGCTCCATCACACCATGACTGGGAACCCAGAACATTGCAGTGTTCAGGGAGAAGCAGACTTCGTGACCCACAGTACTAAAGAGGCTGAAGAAAAAAAACACTCAGGCGGCATGGCTCGCTCTGAGTCACGAGACATAGAACTGTCCAGTCATACAATAGTGCCACACAGGAGGGCGGGCACCCTCGGCAGCCACACAGATGTTCCTAAGGCTTTCTGCCTTCAAACAAACCAACTCCCACACTGTGCAGAAGCAGACACTGGCCCTTGGCATCTCTGCCTTGAGATGCCCTGTGTATCCATTGAAAACTAATCTACAGGGCTAGAAGCGGCACTCTGTGGCAGAGTGCCTGCCTAGCACGTGTGGGGCCTGGGATTCTATCCTTAGCACTGTAAAGTTCAGAGGTATATATAAAATAACTGACATAAATATAAAAGCCATAAATATTCGGTCACTTTTGTCAGGCAGCGGTGGTGTACACTTTTAATCTCAGCACTAGGGAGGCAGAGGCAGACAGATCTCTGTGAGTTCAAGGTCAGCCTGGTCTAGACTGAGTTCCAGAACAGCCAGAGCAAAACAGAGAAACCCTGTCTGGGGGTCGGGGGAAGCAGGAAGAATTAGGTCACCTTTTCAAAGATCACCATAAACTAACCCCAAATATCTGCAATACAACCCTAGTTTATGCAAACAGGGAATGGAAAATAGCATAACTATCCTAACTGTTCGGGAATATTATTTTCAGGTGTGTGACTTTTGTTTACGCTGCATTTGTTTAACTCTGTGAAGCTGTGTTACTGTGCCTGTCTAAAACACCTGATGGTCTAATAAAGAGATGAGTGGCCAATAGCGAGGCAGGAGCGAGGATAGGCAGGGCTGCAGGCAGAGGATACACAGAGGGAGAACAAAGGAAAGAGAGGGGCAGTAAGAGAACAAGGAGAGGAGGATGCCAGGCCCAGCCAGATTCAGAGTTAAGTGGGAAAGTAAGATATGCAGAAATAAAGAAAAGCTCAGAGGCAAAAAGTAGTGGGTATAACATAAGGAAAGTTGGCTAGAAACAAGGCAAGCTAACGCCAGGCATTTAAAACTAAGAATAAGCCTCCCTGTCTGATTTATTTGGGAGCTGAGTGCCCCCCCCCAAAGTCAAAAGAATAAAACACCATACATTAAACAGTGCCAACCCACACCTGCCAGACAGCACCATGACTTTAGTCTTTTTCTTTGTATGGGTATCTATGCATGTGTGCCCAAGTGTGCATGTATATACAGGTGTGCAAGTGTGTACATGTGTGCATGTGGAGGTGAGAAGTCAGCACTGAGGAGTTTTCAACTACTCCCATCTTGGTTTTGGAGATGGAGAGCCTGGATTTTACAGATTCACTTGGTGAACTCTAGGGATCACCTGTCTCCTCCTCCCTGGCACTCGCCTGGCTGCTACGTGGGTGCCCTCCTGAGTCCACAGCACAGCTGGACTCCACCCCAGCCCAGCACCTGGTGAGCAGTGTGCGTGCCCTGTGAGCACAAGGGCGGTAGTGAAGGACGCAGGGGCAAAGCTCCTACGGCTAGTCACTCTCCGGGTCACTGATTCAATAGTGTGACGGCTCATCTCAATCGCCATCCTGAGAGATGAGCTTGGTTGGTTAAGTGCAAAGACTGCCCTTGTGAGTGGCACCATGCCCTGAGCTAGGCTGTGTAAGGAAATGAGCTGAGCACAGGCACTTGCTTCTCGTCCTGAGTGAGGACACATGACTAGCTGTTTCTAGCCCCTGCCTTCTCACTGCCCCACCACACTGGACTGTGACCAGACACAGAGAGCCAAAGTAAACCCTTCCTCAAGTTACCACAGAAACACAAACCAGGACAGTGTCTTCATTTGTGCTTGCCTTTAATAACCCGACATCTAGAACCTACTTAACCGGCAGACAAGTGTGATATAATATAATATAATATAATATAATATAATATAATATAATATAATATAATATACCTTTTAAAACCAATAGTTCACTGCAGTATAGTCCTAACTCAGGACTACTAGGTTTGGAAGCTTAACATTTCTTCCAGATGTTCAAGATATACCAGATAAGGGGCTAGAGACATGGCTCAGAGTAAGAGCACTGGCTGCTCTTCCAGAAGACCTGTGTTCAATTCCCAGCACCTACATGGCATAAATTGTCTGTAGTTCTGGTTCCAGAGGACCCAATACCCTCACACAAGCATATATGCAGGCAAAACACCAATGTATACAAAATAAAAATGAATCATTGTGGAATATTCCTATACTGGTGTGAATGTATGCTGCTATGATTGGTTTAATAAACGAGTTGACTAGTCAACAGTTGAACAGGATAAAGTTAGGTGGAGAGCCAAACAGACTGCTGGGAGGAAGAAGGGCGGAGTCAGGAGTCTCAAGCAGATATAAGATGGGCATGCCGTACTGAGAAAAGAAACCAAGCCACATGGCAGAGCATAGATAAGAAATATGGCTTAATTGAAAATATAAGAGTTAGCTAGTAACAAACCTGAGCTATTAGCCAAGCATTTGCAATTAATATTAAGTCTGAGCAGTTATTCAAGAAGAGCCGGCACTGAAAAGCTCCACCTACAAATTATTTTTAAAAAGCAAAATAACATTAAAAAGTTCACCAAACGAAAGTGGGTCCAAACAATCCAAAACATCAGTCTGCAGGAACCCCACACCCCTCTGCACTCATCAAAACATCAGTCTGCAGGAACTCACACCCCACACCCCTCTGCACTCATCAAAACATCAGTCTGCAGGAACTCACACCCTACACCCCTCTGCACTCATCAAAACATCAGTCTGCAGGAACTCACACCCTACACCCCTCTGCACTCATCAAAACATCAGTCTGCAGGAACTCACACCCTACACCCCTCTGCACTCATCAAAACATCAGTCTGCAGGAACTCACACCCTACACCCCTCTGCACTCATCAAAACATCAGTCTGCAGGAACTCACACCCTACACCCCTCTGCACTCATGCACACCTGTACCTACCCTTCTCAGCCACTTACTGTCTGGGACTAGACAACTCTGCTTCCTTCTTTTATAAAAAGGAATCTTCTTGGGCTGTGACAATTCTAACTTAGGAAGCAGGAAATGCTACATACCACCTAACAGTGCACCCAGCCCACCAGCCCACCCACCTAACAGTGCACCCAGCCCACCAGCCCACCCAACACTGTACCCAGTCAACCCACCCACCTAACACTGCACCCAGCCCACCAGCCTACCCAACACTGTACCCAGTCAACCCACCCACCTAACACTGCACCCAGCCCACCAGCCTACCCAACACTGTACCCAGTCAACCCACCCACCTAACACTGCACCAGGACTACCATCAGAGCCAATCTTTGAGGGACTTTTAGTCAGGAGGTCTTGCATCCCCAGGTTAGGTAACTCACTACTCACTCGCCCACCAGACACTCTGTTCCTCAATGTCTTGAGCTTCTGCTGCCACCACAAACTACAGCCTGTGTCATCCTGGCCTACATCAAACAGTAGTTATATAAGAACAAGGAGAAAATCTGAGGAGCTGGCAGGTAGCCCACTTCCACAGACACTGTAGATAGGGCAAAGGAAGTAGGGCACTCCCAGAAAGCCAGGGAAAAATCATACTGGATAATGTGGGATTCCCCTCTGTATGCTGTGAATACCATTGGTTAATAAAGAAACTGTCTTGGCATATTGATAAGGCAGAACTTAGGTAGGCAGAGAAAACTAAACTGAATGCTGGGAGAAAGGAGGTGTAGTCAGGGAGATGCCATGGAGATGCTGCCAAAGACAGACATGCTGAAACTTTGCTGGTGGGCCACCATCTCATGGTGATGCACAGATTAATGGAGATGGGTTAAATTAAGATGTAAGAGTTAGCCAATAAGAAGCTAGAACTAATGGGCCAAGCAGTGGTTTAAATAATATACTTTCTGTGTGATTTATTTCGGGGCTGAGCAGCCGGGAACCTACAAGGGGCCTCCACCAACAACTGGAGGTCTCCCCAAGCTCACCTGTCAGACTTCCAAAGTCACAGGATGAGAATGTCCTTCACTGGCTTATGTGTGGATACTTAGGCCCCAGTGGGTGAAGCTGTTGAGAAAGGATTAGGAGGTGTGGCCTCGTTGGAGAAGGTATCACCAAGGGGTGGGCTTTGAGGTTTCAAGAGCCCAGGCCATTTCCAGTCAATGTCTGTCTCTCTCCCTTTCTCTCTTAACATCCCCATCCCTGTAGGAGGAGGCTGCTAGTTTGCTCCTGGCCGCTTAGCCCCGAAATAATCACATAGAAACTGTATTAAGTGTCTCCATAGGAAGCTGACCTGCTGACACACTTATCACAGTCCACCCAGGTAGCAGAAGCCTGGCAAAAATGGAGCAGAGGAGTCAAGGGCACTACACTATAATACCTGTCTTTCCTGTTCAGAGTCTAAGGCAGGGGTTCTCAACCTGTAGGTCATGATTCCTTTGGGAGTTGAAGAGCCCTTTCACAAGGGTTCCCTGAGACCATCAGAAAACAAAGATATTTACAGTACGATTCTAACAGTAGCAAAATCACAGCTACAAAGTACCAACAAAAACGATCTTATGGTTGGGGTACCCACAATGACATGAGGAACTGTATTAAAGGTCAAAGCATTAGGAAGGTGGAGAGCCACAGGTCTAGACCCTGCCTCTAACTCCATGTAAGTCAATATAGACACAGCTGTCTCAACAAAGGCAAGAGCGAGGGACAAAATAACCCAAAAGCTGTAAAGCTGAAGGCCATCTAATCCACTCCAAGCAATCCAATCGGCACCTGAAGAATGGAGATTTTCAGTTGCGCACCACCCCTTTGAAGGTCTCACTTTTAGACGTTCTACCACCAGAGCATCACACAGGGACAAGAAATGGAGCCATCCCAACAGGCTAGACACTCCTCGCTCTAGAACCGGAGTTGGGCATCTGTGACAACTGCCCTGCAGTTACTCACCACGTTGTAATAGCTCTTATTGATGGCAGTTGTGTCGAACCCTTTGGGGGGGCTCTTCAAGGTTCCTGATTTGGGGGACACAGGCTTCTCTGGAATTAAAAAACAGAAGGAAGCTTTACTGATCAAAGTTATGATGACAGAACGCACAGCCTTCTCACACCAAAGCCTCACCTGGAAACCAGCCCGAAACAGTGCAGACCTCTCTCTCAGCTGGTGTCCAAGGTCACAGGGTCATGGGCTTCATTACTGCATACCCGCCACCCAACCCATTCTCCCTGAGCACCTGAGAAATAACAGTTAGGGTTTGACTGCACATACATACAGACTCAGAGTCATAAATACAAAATGTTACTCAAGCAGAAATTAGGGAATGCTAGCTGGTATATAAGGGCATCAAAGAACCAATACCCACAATTCTGGGGAGTTCCACATGCTCAAATGGTGACTAGTAACAGATTAAACAGCTAAGGAGGAAAGGAAAGCTGAGCTAAGCAAAGCTAAGATAAACCTCATGGCCTGACCTCTGCCTGGGCCTGCAGCGCACCTCTGAATTATCTAAACTGGCACTGCTGACATCTGACAATACTCACAAATCCCTACTCTCTAAGGGGAAGTCCTGTAAGCAGCAGTGGTTCTGGGCAGTCTGTCTGTCTAGCAGTGGTTCCACAGGTGTGTCTGTTACTTCCCCTGTGGAAACCTACCACAGTTTCTATTGGTGTGTGTGGTAGGAGGATTCCACTGAGTCTCAGGGATGATAGGCTGTGAGGGGGGTGGGAGGCAGACTCATCTTGGCTCAGCACAATAACAAAAGCAGGACCTTTTAGTGACAAGCAATGCTGAAAAGCAACCTTGATGCTTCCACTAGCCCAGAAATGACAAGGAGACTTAGCACACACAGCGGGGGGGGGGGGGGGGGGTAATCAATCACCTCAAAGCAGCTTGGCAAGGATGCAACTCCAAGCAAAACTGGGCTTGTAAGCACTTGAGCCAAGACTTGTGTTCCAGTAGCCCAGGTCAGCATCTGTGATGGTCATCTGCGGCCACTAGCACAGTCATGATGACCACACACGTCTTTGGCCTCCACATTCATTCAATAACAGGAATACCAACATCACTAGGCTAGAACTTCCTGTTTCTCTCTTCCCTTATCCCTTGAACTGAGGGAGTTAGACACCTGTGTGTGTTAAACCACACATATCAATACGATAAAACACAGTAACAATCTGTACATATTACACATCCAAAATGGCACACAGGAAATAAAAGCTCCATAACAACTCTGTACCTTCTGTAGCACTGTACACATCAGAAACTACAGACAGAATGCTATGCCAATTAAATGCCAATTAAAGAGTCTTCCAAAGACCCCTGGAAGGTACCTGTGCTAGTCAGTTTGGGTTTTGTTGTTGTTGCTGCTGATGTTTGTTTGCTTGTTTTGTCAACTTGAAGCAAGCTAAGGTCATCTTGGAAGAAGGAATCTCATTAAAGAAACTACCTCTCTATCAACAGGACAAAACAGCAGCCTACAGAATGGGGAAAGATCTTTGCCAACACGACATCCAACATAAATAAAGAACTCAAGAAACTAGGTATCAACAAACCAAAAAATTCAATTAAAAAATAGAGTGCAGATCTAAACAGAGAAGTCTCAACAGAAGATTCTCAATGGCTGAAAAACACTTGAGATGTTCAACATCCGTACCCATCAAGGAAATGCATATCAAAACGACTCTGAGGTTCCAACTTACACCTGTCAGAATGGCTAAGATCAAAATTACAAGAGACAGTTCATGATAAAGAAGATGTGGAGCAAGAGAACACTCCTCCATTGCTGGTGGGAGTGCAAACATGTATAGCCACTTTAGAAGTCAGTGTGGTGGTTTCTAAGAAAACTGAAAATCAACCTGCTACTATTATACTATATATACAGACCCAATTATACTGCTCTTGGGCATATACCCAAAGGATGCTCAATCATTACACAAGGACACTTGCTCTTCTATGTTCATAGCAGCTTTATTTGTAAGAGCCAGAACCTGGAAACAACCTAGATGCCCCTCTACTGAGGAATGGACAATGAAAATGTGGTAAGTTTACACAATGGAGTATTAACCAGCTGTTAAAACAAGGACAGAAGTAGAAAAAAATCATCCCAAGTGAGTTAACCCAGACCCATAAAGACAAACATGGTATCTATACACTCATCAGTGGCTACTAGCTGTAAAATAAAGGATAGCTATGCTACTACCATCCACAGACCCAAGAGACTCAGTAACAAGGAGGGTTTATGGGGGAATACCCAGATCTCCCTGGGAAGGGGAAATAGAAGAGATGTTGTGAGTGGACAGAGGGCAGGTAGGGCTAGGACCATGAGTGATCAGGTGGGGGCACAGAGAAGGAGAGTCCTGAGAGGGACTGCTGGAGGGGGCATTTCAGGGATGGGCAGAAGCTGGGCGAAGAGGAATCTCCTAGGAGGAGAACTCCAGCTTACATTCCCAGCAACAGTGGATAAATAGCCTGAACTGGCCATCTCCTGTGACCAGATTGGTGCCTGGCCCAATTGTCATCAGAGAGGCGCCATCCAGCAACTGATGAACACAGATGCCGAGATCCTCAGCCAAACGTTAGGTGGGGTTCAGGAATACTGAAGAGTAGGAGAAAGGAGTGTAGGAGCCAGAAGGGTCAAGGACACTGCAGGAAGACCCATACAATCAACGAACCTGGGATCATAGGGGCTCGCAGAGACTAAACCAACAATCAGGGAGTCTGCATGGGAATGACCTAGGAACTCTGCATGTTACACTTGTGGAGCTTGGTCCTCTTGTGGGACTCCTAGCAGTGGGAACAGGAGCTGACTCTTTTACTAGCTTTGGGACCCTACTTTTCGTACTGTGTCACCTTGCCCAGCCTTAATTCGTGGGGAGGTGTTTAGCCTTACTGCAACTTGATATGCCATGTTTTATTAATACTCATAGAGATGTGCCCTTTCCTGGATGGAGACAGAAGAGGGGAATGGGGAAGAGGGACTGGGAGGGGAGCGTGAGTGGGGGAAGCTGCAACTGGGATGTAAAATAAATAGATGAATTAAAAAGAAAAAAGTGCCTCCACCTAGTAAGTTGCCTCTGCTTCAGTCCTGCCTCCAGGTCCCTGCCCTGCTTGAGCTCCTGCTGAGTTTCCTGGATGATGGACTGTGCGGGGCCGTGTGAACGCAATAGTCCTTTACCTCTGAGTTGCTTTTGGTCTTGATCTTCATCACAGTAATAGAAAGCAACCCAGGATAGAGCTTGTCTTCAATGAAACAGGCCAAAAGCATCAACACCAAATGTGAGAAGAACATTTCCAAGTCCCACCACAAGAGGGAAGCAGTCGAAGGCTACTATCCTTTCCTGGAGACTCAAAGCGGGTGGAGGAGAGAAAGCCCCCTTCAGAAGCAGCCTGTGGCTTTTTGTTTGCACAAAAGCTGTAAATCAAACCTAAATGGAATGCAAAAGAAACAGATTCGGGCAAGGGGATGGACTCCGGAGTCTGTTCAGTGAGGCATGGCCCTCAAGGGATTTCAGAGGTGCTTTCAAACGGGCAGCTTTGTCCTCAGGAAACTAAGCACCAACTATGCTATAAACTACAAAGAAGAATCTCATCCCACAATTAGAATACCACATAAACCACTAGAAAATATACTGCCATCCTCGGATTTTATCCTGAACGCTGGCTACAAAGAGACTGAATTTCTTTTTAAACGTTTCGCACCTTTATGCTTGAGCTGCCAACATTAGAATTAGACTGGCTTAACTCTTCTCACAGTCGGCTCACATTAAGAGGATACTGTAGGCAGGCGCTTTTCCCAAGAGACTACTCCCGTCTCACTGCCAAACAGAGGACATTCAGGATATCACTAATAGCAAACTGTGGTATTTCTTATTTTAAAAAAAAAAAAGTGTGAAAATTTTCCAAAGCAAGCTAGGTCTCATTCTGGCACAAAAACTATGAATTCAACTTGCCTCCTAGCAAAGAATACTCTTGAAGAGGGTATGCTGCAGACTAAAGCCAGGACCCTGCGTGTCAGGCACATGGTACCACACTGAGCCCCATGGACACAATCTTAAACTGGCACAGAGACACATACGCAGAAATAAAGAGCAAACACAGAAACTGAGGGTGGAGTGGGGGAGTTGGCACTTACACACATAGCACTGGCCCTTCCTAGAGCTTCCTCTCCTAACACACTCCACGCCCAAGTACAACTCTACTCACATGCTGTCAAGAGACAACATTAAGAACATTTGTAGTTGAAAGTCTATCCAGAAGTCATGGCCACCTCGGAGCATTTCCTAAGCTAGGTGAACTGAAAAATACCTGAGAAGTAAACTTCATGGGACACCCCACCACATCAAAGTAGAACAGAGACGGTCACATGACTTAAAAAGACCAGACCTAACAACAACCTCTCACAGAGCCAGTCTCTACTCCAGGGGACCTTGCACAGCATGAGGGAGCGCCCCCCCAACAGCCTGCTTATAACATATTTTTACTTCTTTTATATTTCACAAGAACATCTTAACCAAATTCAACAGGAAAGCATGAAGAAACATGCTCTCTGGCGCGCACACACAACCTACTCTAAGTCCCTTGAAAACGAGCGTGTGACATGGCAGCGACACACTACTGGAGCATGGCCAAGCAGAACCTGTGTCAGGAAGGACAGCATCGAGTCTCATCAACAAGGAGCCTCTGCTGGGCCCCAAGTTGCTAGACTACAGGACTTCACAGCCTTGCCCTGCATGGATCAAACCATTAGCCCCAGAGAATCTTCAACTCCAAAACACCAATCACAGCGAAGCAGCATCAAGTGGGCTGAGGCTGTTGTGCATTTCCAGGAGTTGGAAAGGTCGGTCCTGAACAAAGCATCAGCCACAGGAAAACCAACATACTTCCCCAGAATCAATGACAGAAATTACCTGCCTGTGCCTAACTGGAAAGCAAACAAACAAACAAGTACACGGTAGTTAAAAAAAATACAGCCTAGCGTAAGCCATAAAAAAGCGTTATGCTTTGTAACATAAAGCACAGCAGTCACAATGAAATGAACAAATGGCTACAGGGGCACATACCCAGAGACCTGGCTACTCAGAAGGTTGAGGCAGGAGGATCACTTGAGCTCAGGGGTTCTATGATCGCCTGGGCAACACGTCCAACAGACTTTGTCTCAAAAGCAAGCGATCATAACTAACAGACCTAAGAAGTTTTTCTCAGGAAAATGTCATGATGTAATGCAAAGTCAGTTTACAATGACTTTACCCAGCACCCCAATGTGCAGGAATGGATGAAAGTCCATTCAGCTGAACTGAAGATGGCATCCAAGACCAGGATCTTTCTCTGACAACAGGCACTCAGGACTCTAGAACATTCACACTTTTTGGCTCCTCGTCCTCCCACAGAAAAGTTTAGCCACTCACCACTTGGCTTGATCTCTCGCACATAGTTGCTGGGGAACCAGCCGGTCCTGCCACTGTGCGTGCCCTCCCACCAGCCACCTTCCTCCACTCGTGTGACATGGATGACATCGCCCTTCGTGAAGGAGAGCTCATCTTCATTGGTCTGCTGGAAGTTGAACTTGGCTCGGACCACTAGCTGGCTGCTGCTGTTATCAGTCATGTCCTGGAAGACAGGAGGGAGGGGTGGGGAGATTCCCATGAAGCACGGTCTACTTTCCTATAAAACAGTTACAATTCACTGTCACAAAGAGAGCCAAGACATTATTATAAATGTTTCACACATTCAAACATGACAGCACCAGGCATGGTGGTACACACCCTTAATCCTGGCAGAGGGGCAGAGGGCAGAGAGGCAGGTGGATTTGTTTGTCTACACAGTGAGTTCCAGGCCAGTCAATGCTACAAAGTAAAACCCTGTCTCAAACATAAACAAAAATCAGGAAAGTGTCTTAAATACAGAAATGTAAAGCTTCCCATCTCCCTGTGCACCTTGACCACTGTCAGATTGCAGGCCAAGAAGACACTCTATGCTACCACTCCTACAGGCTCCCTCTCATGCTCGCTCGCGCGCTCTCTCTCTCTCTCTCTCTCTCTCTCTCTCTCTCTCTCTCTCACACACACACACACACACACACACACACACATCTGGATGCAATCAGTGTGCCTGTCTCTACTTTAAAAACTAATCTCTACACTGTGGACATGTTTCTGACTACATAATGTCACATTGGACACTTGTGCCACTAATTTTTAGGTTACGCCCAATGTTTGTCTATGTACTGCATGCAGTATTTCTCTTATTTTGCAAGGGCTCCACTAGAAATAGTCACACACCCATTTCACTGTCCTGGAACATGTATAACACATTTAAACTTTAATAGATATGCTTAAACTGATTTCCAAAAAGCTCTACACATTTACACCAAAGTAACACATCCATCAGTATTTAAGAGACCTGATTTCATCAAACTTGTACTTTCCGAAGATGCTAACAAGTATGCAGCCACAGTAATGGGAAAACACAACCTCACATCCTGGAGGCTCGGTGCTCAGAGACCCCGCTTTCAGTTCTCTGAGAAGCAGGAAAGACCTGGGCATTTTCTCTTCTCCACTCAGCTTAGATGAGGCTGTGGAGAGGCTGGCAAGTACAAATCTACCGACAAGATACCCCTTCCTAACAACAAAAATACCCACAGACAAGCCTCTCCTAACGGCTACAGGAGCAAAAAGGGTCAATCTGCAAAATCTGCACCTGTGTTTCTAGGGACCAGATAGCACACACCCATCTGCACAGCGGGTGCCCGCATTTCACCTGCATCTTGGGGTGAGCAAAGGTTGACACAACGACCCAGGGCCATAGACCACCACTTCCCTGCCCATGCCATTGACATCCACAAAGACCAGCAGCAGTCCTGGCCACCTCCCCACAGGACAGCAGCAGGGAAGCCCACCTGGGTATATTGGTGTATACTAGCCCTCCACCCATCAGAGAAACAGAAGTCTGGCACAGGACTCCGCAGGACCCGGCAGGACCCAGCAGGACCCTGCAGTGCTGACTCCTCTCCACAGTGTCAAAGACACAACAGAAGATGTCCCCCCTGCACAGCAGACTTTATTTCCATCAGGAACTTCTTGACAAAACAGAAAAGGGTGATCATTGCATGCAACCTGAGACAAAAGGAAGCTAACATGGGAGAAAGCACAGCTCACGCTCAGATGCCCCATGTGGTTTAGAAAATGGACCCAGGAGGATGGCATACAATGCATTGAAGCAGCAAAGCATCCTCCACAGCTACTGAACTAATACAAGCTGCATGGGTAAGCTCTGGCAAAATTTCCAACCACACAGTTTGTGAACTCGGAGACTGGTGCCAAAGAAGTGTCAGGAGAGCACCAGAGAAGTCTGGGGTCCCTGGCTCCAAGAAATGAGGAAATGCCCTATACCCTAACAATCTAGTCATTCCTCCCAGAGAAGGGGGACGACAGAAGCAAGGCTTACACTAACAGAGGCCCAACCCTGAGAGCCTACAGCCATGCTTACTATCAGACCCAGACATTCTAAAGGCATCGGTACAGTTCCAATGACGAAATGTGACAGCACATCTCACACGTGAGAAAAACCCCAATCCAAAGCCCACAGCACATGCGCATCCCCACAATGGGGGTTCAACTTGCTGCTGCTCCTCTGCTGAGAGGTGCCTCACAAAGCAGTATTTAAATTAGCTTTTTAAAACTAAGAGGGCCAGGCGGTGGTGGTGCGCCTTTGATCCCAGCACTCGGTAAGCAGAGGCAGGAGGATCTCTGTGAATTTGAGGCTATTCTGGTTTACAGAGCAAGTTCTATGACAGCCAGGTCTACACAGAGAAACCCTGTCTCAAAATAGGGATGGATGGATGGATGGATGGATGGATGGATGGATGGATGGGTGGGTGGATGGGTGGGTGGATGGATGAATGGGTAGGTGGGTGGATGGGTGGGTGGACGGAAGACAATGGAGGATGGATGGATGGATGGATGGATCAGTGGATGAATGAATGAATGAACGAATGAGTAAATAAATACATAAGTAAGAGGAATATGTTAGAAATCTACACTTAGTAAAGAAATACCTGCTATCCTCGTCACCAGAAATTTTGGTTCTTCTGAGTTTTACATCTCCTCGTGGGAAATCAGGACTGCCACCCCCACCAGCAGGGGCACTGCCCAGACATCCCATTGTCACTCTCTCCTGCTGTCCTGTTCCTTCTCACTACCCCACTCCAGCCTTAATTCACAGGCTCTTCTTCTCTGAGGAAGGCTGCTCCCATCCTCAGGTCCAGCCCCCCAGAGCAAAGGTTCCGGCTCTGTGAACAACCTGACTTAGGAAGGCTTGGAAGGTGGGCTTTAGGCAAAGGAAGAGTTGCCTTCCATCTTCTGCTCTAAGAGAGCTGCACCCTGCTGACACATGCCCACACTACACCTACCCTCTGTTGAGCTGGTGGGACGAGTCGATTCCCTAAGAGGAGAGGTGAGATTGGCAGTACTCCTGCAGTGAATCTTGAAAAGTTCTTACAAAGATTTAACAGGACCACGGTTTTCCATGTGCTCTAATTCAAAAAGGAAACTGCCAGGTTTGCTAAAGGTGAGTCTCAAAAAAGAGTTGACTGGATTGAGTTGTGTTTCATCAAGAGAACGGAAAGGTATGGAGGGTACAGCTGACCACACTCACGAGTACCTCTGAGCACTGCCTGCTCCACAACTTGGGTCCCACTCTGCAACTCCAGGCTTCTGCACCATCCCTGTGTAGCCAGGCTTATTCTAACACTCATGTGCACAATGAGCACTTACCTAGGGATGACTGTCAAAGCATTTGCCTCTCTAGATGAGCAGCTGCAGCCTTCACCAGAAGCCCAAATAAACAACCTTCTGAAAGCACTCAGTCAGTACCTGGGAGAATCCAGTGAGGAGCAGTGCTACCACACACTGCAGGAGCCACCCGGGAAGGCCTGAAGGTTACGATGGTCCACATTCCAACTTCATGGGCACTTGGATCTCCCAAGGGATCTGCAGACTCTCATGCCCAAAATGGCTTTGAATCAAAATAAAACTTCTTACTTACCAAGCTTCGGTACTGGCTCTGAAGCAATTTTGAAGTTCTACTATGTGAAGACTGGGATCCCAGGGAATCAAAAGACTTTATCCGATGTGAAGAGGGCCGAGCACACACCGAGTCACTTCCTAGTCCAATGTCTGAAAGAGAGAGGGAGAGGGAGAGGGAGAGGAAGAGGGACAGAGAGAGAGAGAGAGAGAGAGAGAGAGAGAGAGAAAGAGCGCACGCGCGAGCTGAAGACGCCTGTCACCATGTCCCCTCCACACATACTGGCTCTAAAACTGGGCCAGCATGGAGTGACACACCAAGTCCCACAACAAATCAGGCCATTTACAGAGTAACAAAGAGCAGATTCTTTATTTATTCCCCAATTACCTCTCCAGGAACAATCTGGGGATGACTAACTTATCGGTTCTTCTCTAGAGCAATTCTCAACAGTTTATAAACCATTTTACAGGTGTTTGTAAAATGTTCCCTTCATCTAGAAACACAATGTAACTGCTCAGCGAGGATCTCCGAGACTACATGCCACGCCACCACCCAGGAGACAGAGATGCACAGTCTTATGCCACATATGCTAAGCTAGCACTTCTGAAGACTGCACTACGAATGTGTCAGGTGCACTCTAACACATAGAACTAACGGCAGAGCCTATTACTGTGCAGCTGGACTACACAGTACATGCTACCACAGCAGGCCACTACTGACCAATCATTACTGTGGGACTCAAGTGTGAATACCAACACTGAGTCTATCACATCCTTCAAACCTTCACCGTGTACCAGTGAAGACAGCCCATACCCCAGTGGCACATCCCAATGCTTTAAACCAGCAGACCCTGCTCTTACTGTATATATAGCTCCAGCTAGTAGACCCAGGGCTCAGGAAACGGGCAGTTTGCAAACTACAATCTAAGTGCTGGGGAGTGGCTGGGAGACAGCCACTGTGCTGAAGGCTCCAGCACCAGAAATTGCTGCCCCAGCACTCACAATTCAGACTCACAAACCACCAGCAGCAGAAGGAACAACTGCACATTCATTGCCCAAGAAGCTTCTTTCTCAAGGCATAATGATCACTTTGCCTTGCTGTGGAAACCAGACATGAGCCTTTACACCCTCACTCCGAGAACACTCAAGCAGAGTCTTACCTGCTGTCACTTTATTTAGTGTCACCAAGGAGCTGAGGACCTTGTTAAAGTTCTGCCCCTGATATAAATCATTTGCATCAAAAGTCTGAAAGAAGAAAATGAAACAAGAAAGTTAGTACCATGTCAAGGCACAGGATAAATGGACTCTCCCGATGACAAGTGGTTGCACATGGCCACACCCTCAGTCTGAAACTCTCAAGAGGCAGAGCAATCTCCAAGCGGGTCCCTGGGGAAGGAGTTCATTGGAATGTCCTTGTGAGGCATTTCCACACAGGCCATCCAGTCCTTGGAGGACCAAACCAGCTCTGCTCCTTTCTCCACCCAGGTCAGGCAAAAGCAAGGTGTGAGCCAGGGGCCACCAGTAAAGGCTCATGATGGGTTGTAGTCCTCTCTCCTTAGATTGTACAGTCTACAGGACAAGACATGCCAAAAAAGATCTCTTCTAGTACATAAGGAAGGTGAATTAAATGCACCCCATCCAAGACAACAGCACACAAGGTACAAGGAGAAGACGACAGGAAACAGATGGAAGACAAAGCAGCTCCCAGGAGAGAGACAGGCAGGGTAGCGGCCTCTGGGCAGAGAGCTCTGAAGAACCTGAACTGTAGGCAATCCAGTCTGATCCAGGGCCACTTAACTACTCTGATGCTGAGTCAGTCACACCACAAGACTGAGCCAGGAGAGAAGGCACATGAGCTAGCCTGGGTTAAAATAGCTGGAATCCAAATGTGTGTGTGTACCTGTGTGTATGCATTTATGTGGTATGTGGATGTCCACACAGCTAAATCTAGGAGAGAACGGGCAGGTGCCTGGTTAAACCCATCTGACTTTTGTTCGGAGGAATGTATGCACACATATGCCTCTTACAGCTACGCTAAAACATGCACAACTCTTTCCAAACACTCTCTAAAGACTGTGTGTCACTTTTGAAAACTAAATAACCTCTTTTACAAATAATTTTGATAACCAAATCATCCAGTACTGTTATTCTAGAAAAAGTGAGACAAATATAATAGGTGCAAATTATAAAAAGAAAAGTTAAATGCCAAAAGTTAAATACCAAAATGCATACCAAATTAATATAGTCTTGAAGCAAAATAGAACAGTCTTGATCCTAGGCCCTGGGATAAGCACCTGTGGGCTGGCCACTAGAACCTCTGCCCTCCTCCTCCTTCTACAGCCTCTCTCGGCCAGGGTCAGGAACTCCCTCCTCCACCCCTTCCTGCCTTCCCACACCCCACCTCCTTCCTGCTGAGTCTCACTCCTCTTACTTCCTGAAGCCCTGCCTGAGCCTTGCTGAGCTCCCAGAAATCCCAAGTACATTTATTCCACGAAAAACTTGGACCAGTGTCGATGTGCGCACTCAATCCTCGGGCATAAAGTTTAAAGAGGATGACTACCCGTCTCCACCACTCAGACTTGGGGCCGGTGGATTTGTGGGTCACACATCCAGAGTCAGATGTACCTTAAGAAAGAGGCTGGGGGTCTAAACAGTTCATCGCTAAAAGCTCATGAGAACCAAACCAAAGGACAAAACCCCAAAAGCCAAAAGACGACTGCCTGGAGCTCCACTGGTCTCAGAAAGCCAGTCTTCCTCAACCCCTTCCGGCAGGGCCCTCGGAACTTTCTCATGGGGTGCAATTTGATTCCCGGGTTGTACCACCTGTAACTTACAGAAAGTCAGCCCAAATAGGAGCTCCTTCTAGGCTCACCTCCCTGCTGAGATTTTGAGGATCACAACAGGTTAAGTTGCATCTTTTTAAAGAATAAAAGGTATTGTTCTACCCAAGCCTTAGTTTCCTCAGGCAAAATGTGAAGTCCCCTTAATTATAAAATGTCGCAATGGTGGTCTGTCCTTCAGCTCTAAGGTCTAATCCCACAAGACACACAGACAAATGTCCACTAACCTTCATTATGGCAAGGCAGCGAGTCACAAACCCCAGCACAACAGGATGTGAAATATGGGAAAGCTTCCTGTTATTCCCAGACTATATAGTTTTCCTACCCGGATACCACGGAGCATCTGACTGGCTGCGGCTGCCTGCCAAAGGGCTTCGGCTGACGTCAGAACTCAGTGAAACTACTGCTGCCTTCCTTCCTCCCCAGGAAACCCAAGGAGGAGATGAGACAAACCAGGAGGCCCATTCTAAGTAAGGCCCAGAGCGTTCAGTCAGGAGTGTTTTTCCAAGGAGCAGAATATACAACTTCCCCAAACAGCAATCTAGACAGCAAAAAGCAAAACCAAAAGGCATTCATTCAGAGGCCATTTGCACTAAAGGAACCAGAGAAGAGGCCTGGAGCCTTCCCTGGAAGGTCAGTTCCCCAGAGCCATGAGGAGTCTAAAACAGACCGCACAGGCTGGACTCACTGGCCTTCACCAAGAAGACACCACTATAGGCTGGCAGGAAGGCTGGCCTTCACGGCACACAGAAGTAGAAGGAGGCCACCACCACACAGACCTGAAGTATACATGTGCTTCAGGGGAGCCTGCCCCTCTCACGCCCTGATGCTCCTTCTATCCAGGCACAGAAGCCAGTGACCCTGCTGGCCACATTCCCAGATGGGCTAATTCTGATCCCCAAAGACTTAGCATTCTGGCCTCGATGCCCTTTCCCGTCATAACCTCTTCCACACCTCTAATATGTGCATATTCCCTATTTTAGGGTTCTTTATAATAGCCAATGCAATGTCAGGCTTGGTTCTCGTATGAATGCCTGAAACAGGAAGAATGTGCACTGTCCACAGTACCTGCCTGGCAAGCTGACACCCCGAAACGGTGATCCTCTGTGAAGGCATGAACGTGCCTGGTCACCTGACCAAACTGTAACACTGTCTCAATCAAAAGAACAGCAGGACAACAGAAGCCTACAGAGCACAGCTGGCGAGGCTGATCCACTTATAACTTTCCTATCAGGACAAGTTTCTGACCTCCTTTGTTTCTTTAACCCAAGCTTATGGCAGATAGCCTTTCCTCACTGTACTTTCTGGGGAAGCCTGCAATCCAGGGCACATCAAACTGGCCACCCTACTGCCTGGCTGTAGCCCATCACATGGAGCTTAAGTTCCAGGAGCCATGTGGAGTGTCAACAAGCCTCTGACCCAGTTCTTCAAATGGGAAGGGCCAAGCCCAAGAGGAGCCGCTGTTGATGACAGCTACCTGCAGCTAGCAGGCCTGGCCAGAGAAGCCTCTGCTGTGAGGCAAAGGGCAGGAGAGTGATGCAAAAACAAAGTCCCTCAGCAAAGAGCCTCATCTTCCTCCTCCAACACAAGACTTGCAGAAGCACAGGCCATCCTGATAACCCAGCAGCTCCTCCTCTCAGAACATGGAGACTCAGAATAAAGGTAACTCTGAGCAAGCACTTCCTTCCACACTCCCTAGCAAACAAGGACCCCATTCCACCTCAAATCCAAAACACAGTAATTATAAACTGTTGGCAGTTAAGGCTTCACAAAAACCTCAAGAGAAAAAAGATGCTGAAATGTATGCACATCGGTTGTAAGGGAGCACATTCCTTCCCATAGGGTTCCACTGGACCCTCAGCAGGTGACACAACAAGGCACAAGAGGACACACCCCAGGAGGACTCTTTTACGCTGTACCACGCCACTACGCTGTCGTCTCTGGGCACCTGAGCAACCACACATTTCTATCCTCTAAACCCAGCAGCCTGAACTGCGAACATCTGCAGTGCTCTCATCTATGTCCAGAAGCAGCTCTGCTGCGTGAATGCGGTGCAGCTCCAGGTGGAAAGCCATCAAGATGCTGGCTGGAGCTGCAGGCATTTGGCAGCCCAAAGGACTCAATAGGCTAGAAATCCTGATAACAAGAACACACCGCTGCAAGGCTGCTGGAAGGAGATCTGGATGATTGTGTTCTCACTGCAAGAATAAAGCTCCCCAGTGCAACAAAAGGAAGCCAGGGTCTACAGACTCAGGAATCAAGGCCTCCTCTTGAAAGCTGTGTGTGTCATGTAGGCAGGAGAGTACATCTCCTTCATCAAGACACAAGCCACGCCAGGGGAAGGTGAGCCATGCAAGGAGCCAATGACTAGACATCATGAATTTAGAATTTAGACTCAGCACCAGCACTAAACACAAACAGAGCCCATCCAGACACTTCACTTGCTGATATCCGAGCTCCACGAACTGCTCCCACACCATGTCCAACTGTCTGCTCTGAATCAGAGCAGCCTGGCCACACACACAACCATCATCGGCCACCGTAACTGATATGGCCCTACTGACCTAAAAGCAAAGCAGAGTGACTCATACGTACATGACATCCCTAGGTGGCTACACACAGAAAGCACCTGGGAAAGGTGTCTCTCCTCCCCATCTCATGTCCACAACTGCTGCAGGAGACTGACCCCAGGCTTCAACTCCCCAGCACCCTGGCATCAGCTCCACTACCAAGGGTGTATGAGGAAGCTCTATTTCACAAACACATGAGCATGCACAAAATCAGGACTCTTGGCAGATATTTCTGGAGTGTTGCTTGCAAAGTTTAAAAATATATTTTTGTCTTATCATATTGTCAAATGGAATCTGTGATTTCAGAGCAAGAATGACAATGAATCTTAAGTAAGTAGTGCTATTTAAGTTTAGTGCAAATGCTCCATACTGTTGAGACAGTAAACTCCAGTCCTGGCTCCTCATCTTCTCGGCTTCTGCAGATTTTGAACTCAATTCCACCTACTTCTGCTCCCAGGGGTAAAAACAGAGTTTCCTAACAGGTTCCAGCAGTAACAGTCCTTTCACCTAACATGCCCCTAACAAGCTACTTCTCTTTCAGATCAGACTCAAATCTTATTGGGTTTAGGAATCTATTCTATCAACAACATGCAAACACCATGGCAGAGAACACATATCCATAGAAGGTAATCAAGGACTGTCGGTAACTTCCAAGAGGCCTACAGAGAACGGGAGGCAGTCGAGAACTCAGTGACAGGAAGGCAGAAGACAGGCATTTACACAGCTGTACACGTTCTTCCCTAGTCTAGGAGAAACATTCAGAGAGCAGAGCTGGGACAGTGGACAGAGCTCCAGTCAGGAAGAGTGGAAATAAACACACTGAGGATAAGTGTCA